GTAATAATGACAGGCTTCCAGCTCCTAAGCTACTTTTTTCAAGCCCTCCTCCTCCCATCCCTCTGGCAAATGGCAAAACAGGTGTTTACCTCTTTATTTGCCCATTATAGTGGTAGATGCAACCCCTCTGAAACAGTTGCAGAAACTACCTTTGAAAATTGACTATTTATAACTCAGCAAAAACAATTTTACAAATGTGACTTTTTCTTAGTAAAAAGTCACGCTTTCTAACCACCAAAATTACAGCCCATCCAGATCTGATGATAATTTCAATTTCTTTTTATTGTTGAAACGATTTACAGTGGAATATCATAAACTGCACTGATGCATTGGCAGGTGCAGAAAGACAAGCTTACACTCACTGATTTAATCCCATGGCATTTTGCATTTCGAATGTGTGAATCACTTTTGAAAGGTAGAATGTCTTCCTTGTAAGAATCTGGCAAACTCTGAAAAGTTCATTTTATCAGGAAATAACTGCTTTCTTGTTTGCTTTCTTCCTGGGAGTGACAGTCAGGTGTCTGCCAAGGGAGTTTTTTTGTCAGATCGTAGACTGAGGTTACGTCTTACATTCAATAGCTGTGACTTTGCAGAGTGCCATTCAGAGCGCTACAAAAAAAACTCTGTTATGCTGAAGCTGCCCTAAACTGCACAGCCGATTCAATGGGTCCTTTACGTCAGCACCTCCAGGCAAAAATAGCGCATGAAAACATCATAAGATGAGACAAAGCATTAAGTGCAATTATCTTTCGTCTGTGGAGACTGGGGATCAGGTTGCAGTTAGTTATTCTTAGTCTGATCTCATCTAAGACCACAGTAGGGCAATCTGGTGTGCCCGACGATCCCGGGGAGTGAGGTACAGACCTGACAGCATCTAATGCCTCTCATTTGTCAGTATTAAGCTTAAACAATTTAAAGACTGAAGTCTTGCACAGGCCTGCAGCTCTGGCCACCTGGATTGTTACAGTTCAATCTCTGAAAATGGTGACAACATTTTTCTGCAAGTTGCTTCCATTTGATTAGATGATCATTCCTCTCTCTCGCTATATACTTTTGACTTACCGTCTAGTTTCCAACACAACAGTGTTGTGAAAAGAATGAGACCATTTTATTCAGAAAAATGCCTGCAGGCCATGTTCTTATTTCACAGTAAAAAACTTTTTAAAAGATACTTTTTTATTTCATTTGTTTCTCCTTTCTACCATTTCTTCTTCTATCCTTTCTATCATATCTTTCTCATTCTATCAGGCTCTATAATTTCTTTAACTGGGGTCAGTGACCTAGTTTAGGGCCTCGTCTTTGAACTCTGATCCTTAATCTTAGCCACTGAAAAGGAACTAGTAACACAGCATCACTGTTGGGCAGGTGAGTTTGGAACACAAGTGTCTCCTCACACAAGTATACGCGTGTGCAGGCATGTGTGTGGATGTGCACGTGTCTGGCCATCAAGAAGGTTCTGTCTGGTTCCCTGTAGGAAAAGATTCAGTCCAACATACCTAGTCACTTACTTAATCCAGCGATTTCATGGCATTATTGCCCAAGTTTTTATTCTAAGTTGTTCCATTTCTCTGCTCTGTCTCCCATTAGGGAGCGAAATGGAGGAGAAAACCTAATGATGGACAATATGGAAAAGGCTGAGTTATTCCATACATTTTTTTTCTTTGTTCTTTTCTTCTTTTTCTTCTCAGTATTCATAGGTAAAGCCTGGTCCCAGGCCTCTGTGTGTGCCAGCATGGTTAGGGAAGGAGTTGGGACACCCAACATTGGGGAAGCAACAGATCGGGGTCTGCTTAGAGAAGCTAGATGTTCAGTAAGTGCCGCACTAGCAGGCTCCGTGACTCTCAGAGTGCTGCTCTGTTACCTACGAAGCCTTATGGTGGCTGGAGGAGGTCTCTCATGACCTCAATCCAATGTGAAGGCAAGAAAGGATCTGGTAAACTATATACGAGGCCAGTCAGCATCACCACAGCCACCAGTGAGATCATGCAGCAAGTCCTCCTGGACTTCATTCCGAGCACATGAAGGACAAAGCAGCAATCAATCAGGAACATTCAGCATGGCTTTACTAAGGGAACATCAGGCTTGGCCCATGTAATTGCCCTTTGTGTTGGGTTTGTGTGGCCAGGTTTTGGTAGCAGGGGGGCTGCAGGCGTGGTTTCCGTGAGAAGCTGCTAGACGCTTTCCCTGTGTCCAACAGAGCCAAGGCCAGCCAGCTCCAACATGGACCCACCGCTGGCCGAGACCACCAGTGATGGTGGTAGTGCCTTTTGGATAACACAGTTAAGGGAAAAAAAAAACCCAAACCAGAGAATTGCAGCTCGAGAGAGGAGTAAGAACATATGGGAGGAAGAGCTCTGCAGACACTAAGGCCAGTGAAGAAGGAGGAGGAGGAGGTGCTCCAGGCACTGGAGTAGAGATTCCCCTGCAGACCATCCCTTGCAGCCCAAGGAGCTCCACACTGGAGCAGATCTCCACCTGCAGCCTGAAGTCCAGGCTCCAGTCCACCTGCAGTCCATGGAGGACCCCATGCTGGAGCAGGTGGGATGCCCAAAGGAGGCTGTGCCCCGATGGGAGCCACTGGCACAGGCTCCTGGCAGGACCTGTGGACCCGTGGAGAAAGGAGCCTACGCTAGAGCAGGTTTGCTGACAGGACTTGTGACCCCATGGGGGACCCAGGCTGGAGCAGCTTGTTCCTGAAGGACGGCATCACATGGGAGGGACCCAGGCTGGAGCAGTTCGTGAAGAACTGCAGCCCGTGTGAAGGACTCAGGTTGGAGAAGATTGTGAAGAACCGTCTCCCGTGGGAGGGACCCCACACTGGAGCAGGGGAAGAGTGTGAGGAGTCCTCCCCCTGAGGAGAAGGAGCGGCAGAAACAACATGTGATGAACTGACTGCAACTGTGGAGGAGAGAGAAAATTGGGAGTGAAGTTGAGCCCAGGAAGAAGGGAGGGGTGGGGGAAGGTGTGTTAACATCTGGGTTTAGTTCTCATTGCCCTACTCCGATTTGATGGGCAGTACATCCCACTAACTTCCCCAAGGTGAGTCTGTTCTGCTTGTGACGCTAACTGCTGAATCATCTCTCCCTGCCCTTATCTTGACCCACAAGCTTCTCGTTATACTTTCTCTCCCCTGTTCAGCTGAGAAGGGGAGTTATCACTCCCCTTTGGAGCAGCTTTGGTGGGCACCTGATGTCCAGCCAGGGCCAACCTACCCCACTTCAAGGTGAAATGACTGGGTATCTGGTCATGTGGAGAAAAGTAGATGTAATGTACTTCAGTTTTAGTAAGGCTTGTCCCTTGTCTCCAAGGGCATTCTCATCTGGAAGTTGTGGAACTCTTGCTGGATAAACAGACTGTTAGGTAGCTTAGAAACTGTCTGAGCTACCTTCTACAATGGCAACAATTACTGACTTAACTTTTAGACATTGGCTGGTGACAAATGGAGTATTCTGGGGTAAATACTGTGACTAATATTGTCCTATTGTCCTGTCCCACTGACTTCGGCAGCAAGCTGTACAGCGAGGTAGAGCACATCTTCAGTACATTTGGGGACAATACTAAAAAATCAGGGAGTGGCTGGCATCATGACAAATGGCAGATCTTCAGTCCTGAAGGACTTCAAACAAACTTGAGGATGGGACCAACAGAAATCTCATGAAGTTGAACAAGAAAAAGTGCAAAGCTCAGCACCAGGTGCAGAATATGCCCCTGTGTCAGCACAGACTGCGCAGCAACTGCCTGAGTAGCAGCTCTGCTGAAAACGTCCGGCCATTGCAGTGGATGCCACGGTCACTATGAGTAAGCAGTGCAAATAAAGAAAACCTCATAATGGGCTATGTCAAGAGTGTAACCCCCCTTTAGTCAGGCGTGACGAGGACATACATGTAATATGGTGAACAGTTTGGGGAAGCCCACTTCAAGAGCGGGGAGCAGAGAGACTGAAATGGGTGTGGTGGAGGCCTACTACTGCAATGATCAGGCGTTTGAGGGCACACAGTCTATGAGGGATAACTGGTAGAGTTGCACTTGCTTAGTCTGGCAAAAGAGAAGACTGCTGAGGAGCAAGCACTAAACAGGTCACCCAGAAAGACTGTGGAATTGCCATCCTCAGAGGGTTTTTAAAGCTTGTCTGGACAAATCCATACCTGCTCTGGTATTGATGATTATTTGGCTTTGAGTAAGACACTGAATTACAGACCTTCAGAGGTCCCATCCCGCTGACACTTCTGTGTTTAGCCCAAGGGACAGTATCTTTTCCACGTAAGCATGATACTACTTGGAAAAAGAGCAGGCTCGTACTGATGTGGTCACCTGTCTTTATTGCACTGCTGCTGCTGCTGCATCATAGGACATGTTTTTTCCTTCCTCCATATTTCCCCAAAAGACTATTACATAATTCCTACTCAAACCAGCTTCCCGATAGGCTGTTAATCAACATGGTTCTTGGTCTTTCTGAGAGCAGTGGTCTGGGGACTAGACTTCCTCCTTGCTATCCTGCTTTTCCTCTCGTTTTACACTGAAAGATTGATTGTTCATGCATTATTTTAGTTTCAGATTCCATTAAAAATGAGTAACACTGCAGGACTTCTTTTCCTGGTAACTTATCCAGAAAGAATTGGCAAATAGTTAGGGAATTGTTGGTTAATGTGTTGTAAAAATGAAAGATAGTGGAGACTCCAAAACACTGCAGGAATTATACAACAAACATTCCCTTTGAGACTTCTGCTTCTGTCATGTACAGAGTGCCCAACCCTCTTCAATCTTACCTGTTGATATCTGAAAAGCTGCTTGCAGGTGGTTGCTGTTCACTCACAGCTTTCACCTTGTGCTCTGCTCTGCTTTCTGTCTCGCAGAGCCACTTCACTTGGGCTGGCTGGCTGGCTTAAAGGTCCTTCTGATCTTCCATTGAAAGAGTAACTTGGAGTAGATACCACTTAGGCGATATGATGAATGAGAGTTGTTGTATACACAAAAGTATACCAGATGCAGTCCTGTTGAATTATATTTAATGGCTTTACTAGATTTAATACATAATTAAAATAAATTCCAAGGGTAGTGATTAATTTAAAACATATCAATACATTTTTTCCAGGGGGCTGGGTTAAGATATAATGGTGAAGGGTCTGGTATTAGAGGTAAATATCATTTTTCTCTTCCGGCTTCCGGCAGAGATGGAAGCAGTTTTGTTTTATTACCACTTTGTTCTAGGCTTAGGGTGGTGATGGAGGCTTGTGTCACTGCAGTCACATCTTCATTAAAATCTCTGGAAAATTCTGCAGACTCTCTCTCTGGTTTGATTTTGAAGGAAGGTGTTCTCCTGTCAACAACAGGCATCACCAGAAAATTAGGTACAATCTAGAGGAGTTTAAGTTGCTCTGTATATGTGAGAACTTGTTAGGAATCTAGCTCAGCAGCAAAAATCTACCAGGCAGAGGGACTAGGATTTCACATCATAGCCTGTAAGATTTTTTGCAGACTCCAAATGCAACAGAAATTGGTATACACTACAGGCCAAATTTCTGAATTTGGCTGTGTCTGTGTTTTCTATGCCCATGTTTGGATTCTCAAAACAGCCTTTGAGGAAAGTGTTCAAACAGTGCAGCTTTAGACAACTGGTTTGGCTCCTTAAATTAAGAGGCTGGGTTCCTTTCAGACCCTGCTGGAGAGAATGTTCAGAGGAAAATCCAAGGCACCTATTGCAGACTCCTGCTCCGACTCCCTCATCTGTTGGAACAAGTGTCTCTCCGTTGAGCATATAGGTAACCCAGTCTTCAGATACTTTATTTCAATAACTTTGATGCCTGCAATAGGTGATACAAGAATTCCTCTGGGTATCCCAATTTTGAGTCATCAACCACAGACAGGATACAGCTGACTATAGTGAGGCCCATTTTTAAAAATTGGCTGGTGGCACATCATAAATGACACAAATTACTTAAGACAGGGTCATACTCAAGAATAATGTATTTTACTGGATTAGTGACAGAGGAGTGGGACTTCTTGACATCATGGCCATCTCCCTTTGTAGGTGACTGCTACCTAAACGCAAACAGCACTGACATCTGTTCAGCCTTGCGGCACAGAGCCCCTACCTGAGGAGTGAGATTTTGCTGGTTAGTTTTTCAGCAGAGTCTCTGTCTGGAAAGTCCCACAGTCTTGTCTGGGAGGTCTCTGTGTTTGGGGTGAAAGGCTGCACCATCACTGTGGAATGTGATCTGTTACTGTGTCCTGCAGAGTGAGCGAACACAAATGAAAACCTTCTGAAGTAGTATGAGAGGCAGAGTTTGCCATTTCCGGGTCCGTAACAATTTTCTCTGAACATCATTGTTATAATTGTGCTTTGGCTCCCTTTCCACCTAGTGAGGTGTCCAGAAAGAGATCTAGATTCAGAAGAAAAGCTGTTGATCAAGATCTGAAGTAACTCCTTAATAAAACGATGAATATGGCCCTTGGGCAAGGCCTCTCCCTAGGAATAACCTGATGCCAGCCACAGTACAACTGAAAGGCTGCTTTGCAAGTTACCCTGGGTGTTCTCCTGATAGGTCATTACATCACAAGATGGCAGATGACTTGTGTTCTGTCTAACAGAGGCAAAAAGGACAGCTCAAAATGCCCCAGACTAAGGACACCTTCTCATTCTCTTCTCTTTCTCTCACCATCACTTGCTAAAAACACAGTTCATTTTTGAAGGAAGTGAGAACGTACCTATATTGTTCTGTAGTGATTGCAGCCAGTCCTCCATCAGTGTTTGAGAAGGTGCTGCGAAGAAATACTCTGCCCCGTCTCTCAGCCTGTAAATAAGGACAGAGGAGGTGAATTCTAGTTAGTCTTGCCTTACACCTTCTGTCCTTATGAGTGGGGCAAGCACTGTAAGACATTTCAGTTATGCCTCTTAACAACATACAGTCTTAGGTGGCTGTAGGTAAATACAACCGTACAGGTAGCTGTGTAGGTTTTTATTAGTGCGCTTCTCCATAAGACTTACTGCAACATGAAGGCGTTCTCTTTCCTGATGTAATTTACCAGCCTCTCACATTTGGCACCAGGAATGCTGAGGGACAGGAGTGTGGATATGTTCTAAAGGAAGATGAGATTAAAACAAAGTGTCTTCTGTGTCTTTTCTGCTGGGATTCAATTCCATACCAATCTGCAGGCTGACTACACACCCATACTATCTTTTTCTGCTTCTAACTTTGTGACTAGGATCACTGAATAGGAAGAACCACAGAGGAACAATGGACTATTGCATCGTACCTTGAAGGCAATTCTTTAATAAGATACTTTTTTTAAGGAATATGTTTGAAAATTTCCAAAAGCTTATTATTCTGTCATCTAGTTCGTATCAGTCGAACAGTTGTTGAATTTTCACTCAGCTGACATTTGAAAGAGAACTGATTACCCAACCCCCAAACCAAAGTGAATGTAACTCTATTTTCTTTTAAATGCATTTTTACATAGGTAAGCACAGAGATTACTAGAATGATTCAAAACCCAAATTACCTCAGATGCTTCTTTTTCATCATTATAGAAATCAAGCTTTAATCCATCAAGTTTTACGTAGAAGGATTTCCAAGACCTTGAGCCTGGCTACATGAACAGAAATGGTAATAAAATCCAATTATTAGTTTTATATCTTATTGGAGTAGTGAAATCTTTCATGTGCAGTTTCCACAGTAAGACAGGAGCTGCCCAGATTATGATCACAGAAGCTCTCTTAGTCATGACTATTCCTAGAAAAACAGAACCTGCTATAGTTTCTGGTGTGGGTGATTCAGGAAGGGTCTCTCTGTGAGTCAGGACTGAATAAATGACATAACTTGGTGCAAGCAACTCCACATTGTGTTGTGGTCAGTGACATCCCTTAGAGAAGGTGGGTAATCAAAGTTATGCCTCTCACTGGTCATGAAAATCTCCACTTTTTTCCCAGCTGCAATGCTGGGCACAGTCTAGTTTTGTTAAGTGCGTGCTTTCAATCTAATGTGGCAGTTGAATTCTGTTTAATTTCCCAAACTAACCCCAGTGGAATGGTACTGAACACTGTGCAAAAGTAGCTGCTATTTCCTACCCCAACTATGTACCACTGAAGGGTTAGCCTAGTGCCATGACACCCTTCTGGATGAAGGATCCTATTACTTGCGTATATTCTTATTTTGTTATGCCAGTGACTCAAGTTGAAAATTTGGTCATTCAGGAAAAGGAAGGAAAAAGTCCTGAGGAAGTTAAGTCATAGATTTTTCTTGTTTGGTAATATGGAATTTCAGTATCACAGCAGACTAAATTCAGTGTATCCAGAAGACAGAAAAAACTAAATTTCTCTTCCAAAAGATAGAGTCCATACCAGATTCAATTTTTTAAAGATATCTTTCAAGTTAACAGTTTCAGTGGAAATATTCTATGGGACAAACAATCCAAGACAACTTGATTACATTCAATACCTCAACAAACATTCAGACATTCAGATGCCTACAGATGGTGGTGAATATTAGAAAATTTCCTGCCCTGTTATGATCATTAGCCTACTGACCTGAAGTGATATTCTTTCCCAGGATGAGAATTTATATTTCAGTTCCATTCAGCCCTGGATTAAACAAACTGTTTCTTCAAAGATAAGCTGAAAACTTAATTCTCTTCTAGCACAGTTAGAAATTATAAGCATTGGGAGCATGTGAGGGCTTCCTCTGTCAACAAACCATTACATGCTGATACAGGGTCTTGAAGCTTGTGTTTCAAATTTTTTTTAAAATATTGATTTCCCCCCTTCCCCCCGATTGAGTTGATGTATTGAAGCCTGTATTTATAATTAGGGGAACATAATTAACATGTTCATACAGCCTAGGCTCTGATTCATAAATCCTTTAAACGTAGACAGACCCTGTTCTGCATGATTCCCATGACAGGCAAAAATTCCATTGTCTCTTTCTCTTAAGGACCTGATCAGGTACTGCCACAGTCAGTGGGCACTTCCTCATGCATTTCAGTGGTAACTGAATTAAATCCACAGTCCTGAGCTCCTCTTCAGCAAGACTTTATCCTGAAGAAGTCAGACCAGATCTGGACTATAACTCAAGGAAAGATGAATTAACCCAGAGTGATGGCATTTATTTCTACCTGTTGTCTTCCTGGAAGGAGCTGGTCTCTCTTTTCTAGGGATCCCTCCATGTGCTGGAGACATGCAGAAACCTGAGACACATAAGAGCATTGCTGTTTAACTTTAAAATGGTTCTTAAACATATGTTATAATTTCTGAAGGTCTTTCTAGATAAATTCCACACAGAGAAACTGATCTCTACTGCCTCTAGCCTTTACATTCACAGCACAGCTAGAAATCCTCTCTAGGTTGCAGTCACATCTCTGATATACTACCTAAAAGAAGAGAATTCATGTCCTTCTGGAACAATTTGCTCATAGAATTTGCTCTATCATAGTGTATTAATTAATTCATATTAATTTTATATTATTAAATAGAATTTACAACTTAAATTGCTAAAGTTATTCATATCATCCCTGCAATAATACCGAGTTACACTAATGTATAGTGTTGTACTAGTACACTTGAGTATGTGACAAATACATTCCTCTCAAAGTGCAAGAGGGGAAGGGAACAATTTTTACCTGTCCATGAGTTAACAGTGCATTTCCTGCCAAGGTGAGCAAACAGGAGTTGCTGGTTCTAGTCTTGCACCAGGTCAGCTCTTTGGCAAGGGTGCCACTAAGTCCTGCCTCTCGCTGACTTCTAACCTCAGTGAACACTAAGCACCACCACCTCACATAGAGGGTGTGGGTAAACCAGCAGTCTTGCCTCTGTGAGGCAGCATCTCCTGGCCCTTAAGTGCTCTCCTGCGTATTCAGCAACACAAATAACCTCTAGTTTGGGAAATTAAAACAGAAACCAATACAGTTGTCAAGACCTAGGCTATAAAGCTGAGCAAATTAAAAATGCTTTTAAGCTATACCTGGCTGCTTAAGTCAACTATCTTTTTGGAAAGTAACAACTGCAAAGGCACATAAGATGCCTCTTGCTGTTCGGATCCATGAGTGTATTCACTGAAATGCCCACTGTATGGTGCTCTTTATGACTTTCATACAGAACTTCCTATATTTCCTTACTTTAACTAGCAGAGGACAGCAGTTCTGTGAGGAGAGAGAATGGGAACTGAGAACCCGTGGGACTTACCGAAGATGTATTCTCTAATCTCTCCCAAGAGGAGTTAGATAGCAGTAAGTTTGGTGATTTATCTAGTGACCTTTGGCCAGGCTTGGGTGCAGTTGCCATTAGTTTTGTCTGCAGGTTGGAGAAAGAGGAGCCTCTAGCGCTTTTTTCCTGAGGTGATAAAAGGCCTGTGGCATACGATTCTGACAAACTGCTGCTGTGTTGCTGGCTTATGGGAGTAGGAGATAAAGGAGAGCTTAAAGAACTGTGACTTTCCAAAGATGTAGATTGTGGGCCCACCGTCTTTGGTGTACGTGGTGTGGTAATCTCACTGAGCTGCCTCTCAACTTTCATTTCTGTTTTGTTGCTGCTCAGCACTTCTGGGACTGCCCCAGCAATGAATTGTTGGGATGGCGATGGAAACTTTTCAACAGGGGAGAAAACAGTTTCAAGTGGGACCCTCCAGGACAGGCTGGGTAAGGGCACAGATGGCAGTGGTGTCATGCTCTTTATCTCTGTCACTTTTGGCGGTGTATTCCTTTTGTCAGATGTTTTTCTTTTCAGAGAGGGAACCCGTAAAACTCTGCCTTTATCTTTCTGCTCACTGTCTTCTGTGTCCACTTGTTTCAGAAGATTCATCTCCCTCTGTAGGACACAAGTATTACATTTTGAAAAATTACCTTAATTGCATCCATGGGTACTTACCTAAGATTTTTTTTTTTTGGTTTTTCAAATATACTCTCCTGGCATTGAATTTTAAGGCCTGTACCTCCATTGGCATTCTTAGAGTTAGAACTGAACTCAGCTGCTATGCAGAGAGCATTTTGTTTCCAAAACCATGAATACTGAGGGCAGTTAATCTCAAATGCAGTGAATCCTGCCCTTGCTAAGTTATTTAGAGGCTGCGTCTTTCATAAGCTCTAGAGAAACTATGCTTCTCTTTGGTGGCACTGCTTCTTTCTGTTTGCTGTAGGAACAGTGAGTATCCAGGGGTGTTCTCATCGAAAATTTTAGAGTGCAGGGCCTTTGTCCCCTCATGTAGCCAATTTGCAAATCACTGAACAAAAGGCAGACTCAGTTAAACTACTTTTTAGCCTAATGCCAAACACAAAAGCTATGTTTTGCTGGTTATTTCAGGAAAATAATTTTTAAAAACCCCATTGAAACAGTATCTGGTAGGCTGACTGAATGTTTTTGGTACTTAATACAATCCACTGATTGTGTAGAAGTGTAGAAGTCTGATGCCAGAAGGACAAAGGCCTATGTCTGCCTTGGTTTCCCTTTATGTTCAGCCCTTTGCTATCCTCTGTTGGACTCTCTTGATCCACATAAAGGTCTTGTTCTCAGCTGCTTTATCTGCAATATCTCAGCTTTGGTCACTCATTTACTCCATCTCAGCACAGGAATTCATTCTTACATGGAGTGACTGAGCCCCAAGCATTCAAGGAACCACATCATCCTGTCTTATACACGGCTCATCAACTTTCTACTTCTCACCTTAGTTTTCCTGCTGAGCTGAGCAAATTTCTCCTCCTGAGCTGCAAGCATCTTCTCAAAATCATGGTGTTTCTTCAGTAATTCCTCTACTTCAGACACTGAATCCTGAAAGGAAAAATTATCAGATACAGAAGTCCAAAATCAAATCCATCAGAAGAAATTATGCCTAGGTTTTTCAGATTTACCCATTTTATTTAGTCAAATGATGATTCTGAAATTTTTCTAATTGATTGTCTAAACCCGTGGTAGTCTTTGGAAAAATCCTAATTCACACACAAAAAAAGGTCTGTAGTTTGCAGTCTGTCTGCTGTACATGAAAAAAAGAGCTCAAATAACAACCTTTTTTTGCAAAGTCATGTGATACCGTGGCTTCCAACCATAACTATTTACATACAGATCAAGTACTTGGATTCCAGCTTGTGCTAGATGCAGATTTTATTCCTGCCCTACAACACATGCATGTTAAACCTCTGTCTTGTTCTCTGTTTAGTTTTCGACACCTGAGTTCATAACATTGATTTCCATCTTACAAACCATCAGAAGATAGTCAACAATGAGAAGAAACTCCAAAACTATGGATGCTGGTGTTTAAATAGGAATTTACAAGCTAGCTATCAAGCCATCTGTGTAAATCATGCTACTGCCCAACACAAGGTGGGGAAAAACACTTTTTCCTTTCAAAATAGACTTTCAGCATGACAGGGAAGGTTGAACCCTCTGCAAGTTATCTTATTATGTGAAAAAATGGTCTGGAATTCTCCACAGTTTTCTACCACTCCCTGGAAGCCACCACCTCCTGGAGCCCATCACCATGTAAAAGGCAGCAGCCATCCTGGGCTCACTTCTGTAAGAGGAAAGAACTCCTGCCCTTTGTAATCTCAAGGGTGCATTACTGTTTAGATTGTGATTAACTTCAGGCCCAAGCTCATACGTGCCCCAAGCAGTCTTTATATGCTAAGAGGCATTTCAATAGTGTTGCACTGTTGTTACTCACCCCATAGCTAGGATCTGAAAGAAAACTCTCCTTGGCAGCCAGCCATGCTTCTGCTTGTTCTAGCTCTCTGCGGAGCAATTGAATCTCCCAGTTTTCTTCATATAACTCTTTCCTCATGTCCCAGCTCTCCTTTACCTTCTTCATCAGCTCTGACAGCTCTAACAATTTTTCTTCAATCTAGAAAAATTACATTTGCAATGCCAGGAGGTGAAAAATCCAATCGGACTTTCATGTGACAGCCAACTAGCATGTAATCTGCCCTCATGATCCAGAAGATGACCTCTAGATAACTTTGTGGTGTTAACATAATTTAGAAAGGATGTTTGACTCCTCATTTTTCTTACCTGAATTCATTTAACCAGTATGTTGTATAGCTATATATTATAATTGAATGCATATTTCACATACTGTATGACCAATATTCTGCTACATGCTTTCCCATAATGAAACTTTATACCCAGGAAATTTGTATTACAGAACTAGTGAGAACGAGAAGATTCAACAAATACATCCATTTATGGCAAGGCAACAATGGAGAGCCTTAAACTGCGGAAAGTTCTGGAATCCTTTCTACAACAGAAGTAATGTAATCTTGCATAAATTCTGAAGGTGTTTTTGATGGTGTGATCCCTGGATCTACTGACAGTATCAAGACAAGTTTGGGACCACTACAAAGGTCAAAGTCTCAAGGTACATAGATAATAGGATCACAGAAATGTTAACGTTATTGCCCCTTCAGCTCTATAACCTTTCTAAAGAATTACATATCTTCTGGTGTACTCAGGGACGTCACTCCCTCCTACAGTTGATTGAATTGTGATACGTTTTATCCTAGGTCTTGTGTAGTTAAATGCTAAAATCTCATTTATGTGGTAATACCTCTCTACCCCCCATATAGCCATAATCAATCCAGTGACTATTCTTTTACGGTCAGCTTCAAAATCAGTTTTTAGAGGAGTAAGAACTTTAAAAGTTGTTTTCTTTTTCTACATGTCACACGAATTCTGCAGCTTTTAATAGGAGAGAACCTGATTGTCCTGTTTAGTTCTTCTGTTTTGAAAGAGAGACTAAGCCGCAACTCCTGCCTATTTAATGCCGCCTTTGTTTACTCTTATTTGTTAAATATTTAACTCATCAACACACCTCCACAGACATGAAATGTCCATTCTTCATCAGGTCAGCTCCTGTTCGCTGCATTTCTTCATATTTTAGCCACTGTTTCTCTATCTCACGTTTGTATTCCTCATGGCGCTTGATAAGCAGTTCAGCTCCCAGGACATCATGTGCCAGTTCCTCAGATATCACTAGTGCATGCATCTCGTTGGCCCAGGCCCTACAGAGTACAGTCAAAAGGGTAAAAAGGGAAGGAATCTGCATCTGTTGGATACTCAGGAATGCACACATCCTTGGCTGCGGATACATGCATACAGATTTTTATTTGCTCATGAAGGATACGAATATACAAATACATTGATGAAGGTTCACTCACACATGTATGGATTTTTATAACCTGATATAATATTCCCAGCGCTGTTTCAACACATAGCCTTCTGAAGCATTGTGCATTCAGATCTTCAGAAAGAACTGTAACTGCAAATGCCTAGGCTGTACACATTTGCAGTACTTTTATACATGGGAGAGGGACACAGAGACTTTCAGATGTCCGTCTAACCTTATCACCATGCATGGAAGTACTTTATATACAGAGCACTCATGCAAAGCAGCATATTGATGGATACTCTTTAAGGAAAATTTTCTACTCCATGAGCCTCAACTGACAAACCACTGCATCCTGATTTACCTGAGCTCAGGATCTATCCCTTAGCATAGTAAATGTCCAATAGTCAGCGGTAACCGCTTCACTGTCTTTGTATTTCTACTCTACTATTTCTACTCCTGTCATGGCTTAACTCTTTCATTAACTACACTGAATTAAAAATGTCCATATTTCCTCTGTGAGAAATCCTGTTTAAGAAGCACAATTTCCATCAAAAATGTATCAATTTTAATGAAAATTACATTACAATGCTAAAATATATTTTAATCTTGGTCTGCCACTTTGAGTTACCTCAATTTTTACACTAGACCTCTGCTTTTAGATACTTTGGCATGATTGATTTAAACAAAATGAAATGTTTACCTCAACATATCTTTTTTTAAAAAGTATGTTATGTAGATACTTTAAACATTCAACATTTGTTCTAATTCAGTTTAAAAAAAAAAAAAAAAGGAATTTCCCATCACCTCTGATGTGTGGTGAATTCTGTGAAGTGCTGCTGAGAAGATGAAATGTATGATTACATTGGTTAAATAATGAGTGGTCAAACATTGGAATAGGCTGTCCAGGGAGGTGGTGGAATCACCATCACTGGAAGTATTCAAAAAACATGTGGACATGGCACTTAAGGACATGGTTTAGTGGGCATGGTGGTGTTGCGTTGATGGTTGGACTTAATGATCTTAGACGTCTTTTCCAACCTTAATGATTCTGTGATTCTGTGATTATTCAGAGAGATTTGCAAGCAAGCTGCAGAGTACCTGGGACACAAGTCAAATAACTGACAGGTATAATTTAGAAAATCCTGTATGGGAAAGACAAGAAATAAAGCCCACTGCCAAACTTAAGGGCCAACACATACATCAGCTCCCTGCAGTCATTGAAGTAGAGCTGGACTTGTTCTGCCTGGCTCAGTCTTGCCTTCCTCTCCAGAAACTTCTTATCCAGGTTTTCCCAGCACTTATCCACATCTGTGAGTCTATCCATAATGTTTTCCTTGACTTGAGGGTACGTGCGACTAAGGTGCCAAGCCTCTCCCCGAATCCGTTCCAGCTCTTTCATGATGGCTCCTAGATCTCTCTGGAACCGAAACAGAATGGATTGTAAGACCAAGTCATTACTTACATCTGTCAAAAGCAGATTTTAAAGATGGTGCATATCTTTTCTAGCCACTGCCTGCACAGAGGCTGGAAATACAACTCTGTCAAGACTTTTCCTCTCAGTTTCCTCCTAATGCCTTTTAAAATTAATCCTCAAACATCAAAGAAGCTTCTTTAGATGTGACACTAAGTTGATAAGTGTGGAGCTGAAGTCTCTTGTAGTTCAGATGACACCTTTGCAATTATAATAACAATTTGGAATAGATTTTAGAAGAGAGGCTCATCCTTAGAAGCAAAAGCATTAATAATATCACAATGTTAAAAACAGGAGGAAAAGGCTCCCTTCTGTGAGGAACAAAGAATATTTCAGGGTGCAATAAATTTACCTTTTGTTGGCCTGCAAACAAGGCACTTGAGAGGATTTCAAATCAGTCTCCTCTTTTTGCCATTTATGTTTTTCTGCCACTGCTTCATGACAGATCCCCTTACCTCTACTCCCTCAAGCTGGCTGAGAAGTGTCTGTACACCTGGAAGATCATATCCATAATCTTCTATATCCACCACTGCCTCTTTCTCCTGCATCCAGCTCTTTACTTCATCCACATCGTGATCATACTGGTGAACTTGCTGGGCTGCTCTTAGATTCTGGAATAAAGAAACAATTTAATAATGATACTATATATCATGTCTGCGGCACAAAAAAGGGCAACCCTAATATGTCCTAATGCAATACAGGCTGAACCAGAGTGGGACTGAAACACCTTCCTAATTGAGTCATCTGAAAGTGAGGTGTTCGAGCTAACCTAATTTCCCCAAGTTCTCTTTGTCAATGGAAAGAAACAGATGTCTCCAAATAGCAATTTATCCCTACATAAGATGAATGATCAAGATGGAGAGCATGAACTACCCTCTAAAGGTAAACTCTCTCAACCACAGAAAGTGTCCCAAAAAACTTGGTTGGAATAGAGGCCTACATGGCAAACACAGAAAATAAGAGGAATTAAGTGAAAATTAGGTTTTCTGAAATAAGAGGATTAAATAATGTTCTAATATTATTTTAGATTCAAACAATATATTAATAATTGTCATTCATTTACTGCTGCTAACAGACAATAATGAGCTTGAGCTACTTTATAAGCAAAAAGTGTATGTAAATGTAGTGAAAAAAAGAGTTGAGGACATCTGACATTTTATGTTCTCCTTAAGGCAAACAAATATGTTGAGTTCAGTGTGTCCTCTCTGCTTTTCTAAACACATCTGTGACTGCAGTTTCATGAGAGGAGGTGAGCTGATTTAACAGCTAACTGCTGCCAAAAGGTAGGGGTTTTGGCTCTGTGTCCTCTATCACCATCTATTCCATACCCCTTCTTTGACTTTGAGTAACTAACTCAGCAAAAAAATCTTGTTTTCATCTTGTTTAATAAGCTGAAGTAGTTCAATAAAGGGTCCAATGAGTGCCAGAGTCGGCCTCCTGTTAGTGGTGGTAAACCGTTAGATTGGCTTAGTTTTTAAAGAAACCAGAGTTAGCAGTGAATTAAGGAAAACAGAATTACTCTAGGCTGATAAATATCTTTCAAGTATAGGCCTTGCCAGGAACAGTAGGGTAAGTAGTGGCTATAAAGGGAAATGGATCAAGAAAGAATAGAACATAATTTACCCATTGCTCTTACAAACCTTGTGTTTCAACATGAGCAATGCACTGGTTTGTGAAAGGAAGAAGGACATGGGGAACTGCAGCGAATTCAATGCCCCAGTTTCTCATGTATTTCCTACCTCTGTCCTTGCCTGGATGGCATGGCATAGTTTCTCCCATGTCTCATTGATTTGCTTTGTTCTCTTCTGGATAATGTCCATCTTGCTGTGGCCCTCCTTCTCTAGTTTAGATGCTAACTCATTTAAGGAGACAACTTTGGAATGTCCCAGAGGTTTCACCTCATTTACAAAATCTTTAAACTTTTCCTCCAGCACCTGTGGGATAAATGGGGACACAGACTTAGATATAAGTATTTCTGCCTACCTCTATGAGAGGGGCAGAAGGTGTCACTTTCTCTGTACTGTAACACAAAAGCGATGTAATTCAGTCCACAAGTGCAAATCACTTGATAAACACAGATGATCTGGAGTCAGAAGAAGATATCTATTGTCATGATCATTTAACATCTTATGTCCCAGAGAAAAATCACCCACATCCTGACAAACAGATGCTGCCCAGATCAAAAGCTAAGAAACATATCCTGTAGGCTGTCCACATAAGCAGCAGTTGTTGACACTATGACTTATACCTCTCTGCACTGTGTGGTCTGAGGAGAAATTTATCCTTGAAATCAGCAGCTAGAGATGTGAATGCTGAATCCCAGTGTTTTCCACTGAAAATGTTGCAAGACCATGTCCCTGGTCATGTCACATTTTTTAGGCCTGTCAAATTTATAATCAGGGACAGCAGTGAAGTGTGTTGACCTTACCTTACCCCAAGAAAAAGCTAACTTTCTGATGCACCTACTTTTTCTGTTGGAGAATGCTACCTCACTATAACAAGCTTCACTGTCAGCAGCTACACAAAAATTTCAGCAAATATATTCCTGCTTTGCCATACAATATATACAAAACCTTTTATTTGCTTTTACCTCAACATCATCTAAGTCCTGCCCATAGTCATTGGACTCTGCTACAGACTGTTTACTGGAAAACCATGTATCCACCATCTGGAATTCTCTTTCAAACTGATAGAGCTGGAATTGTTCTTGCAGGCATTTTCTCTGTGTGTCAGCCTTCTGTAGGAGCAACTGATAGTCTGCTAGGATCCCCTGGAGTTTTGAAAGTACGGCTGGACTGCAAAGAACAAGAATGAGAAGGTATGCCTTTGTTTTACTGTTCTTTTTGAACATTGCCTTTTCTGAGAGGTTGAATTTGCAATGCCTTCAAAATATAAAAGAAACCAGATAACATCATGGAGTGAGTTATGCCAAGCCGTCAAAACCAGCGAGTTCAGGAAATTAAAGTATGTCATATGAATGGCTGCTCTTTTCACTTCCCTCTCCCCAGATATAAAAGCAAACTGGCAACGAAAAACACGAACTGTCAAGAATGTCCGTTTCCTTTTCCAAGCACAGTGTTTTTCAAACCTTTATGAGTAAACAAGAGCTAGATGACAGTTCCTAGGAATAGACAATGGACAAAGAAGCTGATCTGTACTAATTGGCCTGTTGTAAAAAAAACAACAGTCATTAAAACATTGAAACAATCATGAAGCTTTTCTGGTGCTGACTGTGTGTGATGGTGGTGAAAGAGGGATTGATGACCCCTGAAATCATATTTCTGAATGAGCCATCAAACAGCTACTGAAGGTTGAACTTTTCTGTATTTGCCTTCTCTGGGCATTTCTGACCTGGAGCAGAAGCCTGTTTTCACTTTCCTACCTCTCTGGGCTGTCTTTGTTTATTAAACTGGCACCTGTCTCCTGCACTTTCTCGATCCGGGGCCTGAAACCATCCATGTCCAGCTTGGTAGCTTCAAGTTTACGAAGTAAAACTTGTGTGGATTCTTCATTCTTCCCATAATCAGAGGTTTCCAGAATGAAGCTCCTCTCTGCCAGCCACGCCTCCACTTCCAGTAGCTGTGTAAAATACAGGGATGAGCCTGAACATAGCTGTGATTTAGGTCAAGACAAAGAAAACTGGAAAGCAGTGGTGCCCAAAGAGACACATCAGTGAAAATAGAGAGCAACTTCCTGTAATGCAATCTAGCAGACACTGTTAAAAAAAAAAAGTGTACCCAGAACTCAATAATTACAATTACATGTTTATCCTTGTTGTGTTTCACTGCAATTACTTGGAAAAGTAACTGTTGTTTTTCCGCTGTATCCATATTTAACAGATATGAAAAATCAGGACAGTATGAATTCTGCTCCTCTCTCAGCACTTGCAACCATTCAACAATACAGGTATCAATCTTTTTAAGCAAAGAAAGACCAAAATAAATCTCTCATGAACCGTCTTTACCTCATTCAGGAACAGATGGGCCTCGTATGACTGCATGAGCCGCCGTCTCCGCTCTTGAGCCTCTGCTTTCAAGGTTTCTATAGAAGTCTCAAGCTCCTTCAGATGCTCCATAATCTTGCGAGAGGCTGAGTGGCCTCCCCTTACCAGTTTCTGCCCTGTACTGAGCACTGCTTTGGTCAAAGCATCCCGACTGCTTATCTCATTCTCCAAATTCTGGAAAGAGTAGAGAGTAAAATGACAGACCAAAATTAAAAGCTATAGAGAATTTAATACTAGATAATGCAGTCATGTAATTCCGTTGTAAATCTGTTTTCTATACATGAAGATGGGTCAGAGGTGCAAAGTCTGAGTGAATGCTCAAAGTGGAGTGGAGGGATTTTTTGGGGTGAAGGGCTGATTATAGAAATAAAATATAGTCGTGAATTTTGGACCTTGGTGTGTATCCACCTCAGAGTGTGAAGGAAAGAGGTTCTAACCACAAACCTCTTATCTGTAAATTCCACTGAAATATAACCACTTCCAACCCATTACGCAGTGTTTCTTGAATTAAAATGTGTCTAGGGAAGAACAATCAATTCACCTGCTCATCAGTATTTATCACTTGCCAAAACCTTTGTAGAAGATGCAGCTTTGCATAGCAGCCATTGCAAACACTGTGGGTACACATACTACCAGGCAGCCCAGAGGACAAGGAGAGAAGAAAACTTCCTGAACCAGTTCTCAAAGACTTTACTTGAAATTAATTTTTGAAGATGGGTGGATTTTAAAACTGTACGCATATCTCCCTGTACACCCTCATATGATATTTGCCTGGATGGGCAAGGACCATGCCATCAATTTGTCTGTGAGCAGATATGCATTCCATGGCTAACTATGTCTGAGCATCTTGAGCACAAACCCCACTATTTTACAACTATTCTGTTTATTTTCATAGCTATGAAACAGGCAGTTTCAGAGTTAGGCTGCAGTGTTGTGTTAAGGTAGAAGAGATGCCCTCTCTGAGGAGAGGAGCTGCTTTTTAAGTATCAGACTTGGCTAGAAAAGAGCTCTGATTCTAATCTTGCCTTTAACTTCCCCCTATTAATTTCAAGCCAGCCACTATGTTGTTGAAAAGTGATACCGTATCTGACCCCAGCAGAATGGAATCCAGTGGCAAAGATTATAAAACATCTTGTACCGTGTATTAATAATAAGCTAGCAGCATGAAGAACAACTTTGCAGTTGAACATTTAGGAACGTGTATTCACAGTACTTCATTTATAACAAGAGGAACAAAAAAAAAAAACCAACTGGAGGGGGGGAGTGAGGGGAAACTCTGTTCCAAGCCAAGCAGCTGTGCGTACACATATTATATTTGTGTGTAAATGCAGTTTTGCAAGACAGTATTTTGTGTTTTTTTTAGGTTGATACATTTAATGCACAATCTCTTTTGTGGTAACAAACCAAGGACTGAATTTTGCAAATCTGACTCATTAAGACAAAAAATAGAGGGTGGAACTAATAGTATATTCAATTCCTGACTGTTATGTTACTTCTGACATTTGTTTGCCTGTAAGCCAACATTAAAAAAAAAAAGTGTAGAGACTCTAGCTACTAAAAGATTGAGAATTTAAAGCTTATATTTTAATCCTGCTTGCAGGAGTGTAAGAAGCAAAATGGCAGGAAGAATCAGCATTTTATTATGCACTGGTATTATGGTCTGTATCTCTCATTCTCACAGTTCACTGAAATATTTTGAGACCTGGCCAATTAACACAAAGACAATTGCAGCCTAAAGCAGTATCTCCACCGTTCCTTCAGTTATCCCAAATATTTTCTCAGATTAATTCTGCTCAAACATTACTTTTTTCCACAAACCTAATTACTTCCCTACCATGTCAATCAGCTCATGATTGTTAGGAGTAATTGCATACATAACAACATTTATACTTTTAATCATGATGAAACACGTTTCTTGTTCTTACTGTTTAATCTCAAAGTCACCAACTGCATCTTGCTTAAATACAGAATTTTTACAAATATGAGAATTACACTGAATACTAAGAAGGTGCAAACTACTCAGGATATACCCATGGGTCTTACTCAGGAATATTCTGGAAGATTAATTTAAAAATCTTTTACAATTCTTCATTAAATTGTGAGTATACCTAGGATAAATCAACTTTTTAAGAGACTTCATCCCTGTCCTAGTATGTCACCTGTAGCAGCCTTGACTTTTTACCTTGGGGACATTTCAAAGTTTTTGTAAGTTCAGATTTTTATTTGTAGACCTGTAGATTGCACTAAATACTTGGACTTTCTCTCTCTCTCCATATATATATCACATACACTTCCACTTTATAAGATGTTCTGTCTTTCCCAGCACTACTGCAGATTGCACAGATTTTCCCCACATAACCTGGCACTTAAGTGGGTTGTCATTTGCTAACATTAAATATCAATAGCTGCTGGAAACTATTAGCAGGATTTTTTTTTTCTTTCACCTTGTGTTTGCAAAGAGACAGTACTCCTTATTAAAAAATAATTAGGAAGGCATCTGCTGTTTTATTGGTATTTGAGATGAGGCACTGCTTTCTCTGATAGCCCATCTGAACCTTGGAAATAATTCAGAGGCTATCTTGAAGGCTACCACTGTAATGAATGTTGGCTAGGGATCATCATAATATCCTGTTAACTCCCTCCCTCTAGAGTAGAAAGAGTTTTGGGGAAAGATGTTTTCCTGGGAGCTCATCCTAAGATATCGATGGTTGGAGCTGATGATCTTAAAGGTCTTTTCCAACCTTAATGATTCTGTGATCTGAGCAATGACCTTGCTTTAATGTACTTACTGAGTTTCAAAGCATATTTGTTAGGACATGTGTTGCTCAAAGAAGCTATGACAGCATGTGCAATAGTTTGTAAGATCTATTTTGTATTGCAAAGGCCAGGTTTTGAGCTCAGTTCACAGAAAGCACCAATGTGTCCACAGAAAAGCATATGATATTGTACCTACACCACTGCAATGATAAGCAGCATGGAATCCCATATGTTGCCAAGTCATAGACATATCCTTTGAAAAATGCCATTATTATCAGTAATCCTTGGCATCATGAGTCCTGTTAGTCAAAGCACAGCAGTTGAAGTTTGCCAGAGGCAAATTGAATTCTGTGTTCTCTCTTTGATTCTAAAGATTGAGAATGGTTCTCACATGACATTACCTGGTGCTTTTCTTGTAGACTCTGAACAGCTGGCAGGGATTGGCCATAATCCCTGGAGGAAGCCATGGGGAGCTTCTCATGAACCCAGGCCAACTCCTCATCAACATCTCGAAAGAACTGGTACTGAAGTCTGCTTGCCTCCAGACTCCCACGTCTCTCCTGCAGAGGATCACGTAGACTTTTATATCTGTAGGTTTTAAAGGGAATCCAATGAGGACCGCAGATTAATAAGGAATAAATGCAAAATGCTCTTTTCAGAATGATGTAGAGAAAGAAAGAAAAAAAATATGCAGGGAAGAAAAAGGCTGATAAAAATAGGAAAAAGATGGCAGGAGACAGGCCAGGCGCTCACACACCTCTGCACCAGTTGATCCACTCTCTCTTCTAGTTCGTCAGCAAGAAAATGCTTCTCCTTCTGGAATTGCTGAGTTGTGACCACAAGCTCTTGCAGCCGGTCCCTATGGCCAGCAATATCTTCCTCCAGATCCTTTTGTTTCTTCAGATGACTGCTCAAAACCACTAGATCATTGTTACTATATGGTGCTTTCAATTCATTTTCCACATCTTCCAACCATTTCTCCATATCCTCTACACTTCGCTGAAAATGAAGGCCCTGAGGACAAGCAGGAAGAAAAGTTCATTAAACCTTTAGGACAGACAATACGATATAAAAGTCTTGGCCACTTCCAGTAAGAATTACACACAGACATGGATAAGCTTCCCAGTGCTCAGTGAACTCTTCCCAGATATGATGGTCGTCCAAATGAAGAAGAGAATTCACTCAGAGTGAACACAAGAACAGATGTAGATAACATCAAGAGCTAATTTTACTTGCATTGCACTAATGCAAATGATGGACACAGTACCTTAAAAGGAAGCTATTTAAAGGGAGAGCTCTATTTTATGCCCACAGAGTGTCTGATAACCCATGCAAAACTCACAGTCATGAGAAATCACGTGCCTGGAGACAGAATGAAAAGAAGCTGTGAGCTTCTTTCTCAATGTGTTGCAGAAAAGATGCCATTGGTGCAGATGCAGAGAGTTGACATACATGAGTGAGCACATTTTCCCTCAGTATCCCTCTCTGGAATCCTGATTTAAATCAGCAGCAGAAAGCAGAAGGGAACACGGCCTACAAATCCGTTTCCCTCCATAGGGATCTCCAATTCTCCTGCTGATTCCATTCAATCCGTCCACACTTAGTAGTTTCTTTGCTCTAATGGTCTTGAGGGATCAAGTCCGATTGTATCGTGACACACTCGTAGATGAGACGTGTAGCAAGGCAGCTGTGCTATCTCTGGAAATGACACCAAGACCCAGCGACTGCCATCCCTGTATTACCTTGTAAGCATCCTGCAGCTTGGCCCGTTTATCCTGGCAACTTGCTAGCAGTTCCTCCCATAGCTCTTCCATTTCTTGTAGTCTGGACTGAATGGCTTCAGGGGCATAGTGCCTCTCACGGAGCATCTTCTCCCCTTCCTATAGCAGAGAGAACAGTCAAAGTTTTCTTCCTTTGCTGAATGCACCAGAATATATCGCTTTTGCCTCCATAAACAATGTCTGCTGGCACTGTTATGTAAAGGGCCACTGCAGCCATCACTTCCTGACATAACTGATAGAGGCTGCAGAGATGAAGAAAAAACAGATAAAGGCAAAGTGCTTATCGAAACTAGGGCAGAGACTGATATTCCTGTTTTTCTGTCCTCTAAAATTATTTGAACTGCTAGAAAACAATATTAGAAGACACTTAAAAGGTAAAGAGAATCTTCATTAAGCAACAGCTACATTGCCTAAAAGTTGGCAGGGAGCCTAGTTTGCAAGCACTCAGTTTTTTCTGTGATGTCCCACATTCTGTGATCACTGTTTGAGATTGCCCAGCCACCTATCATTTTTTATCCCCTTCCTTGCATGCTAAAAGAGTGAACTATCTATCTCATACAAGACGTAAATAAAACCTCTTTTAACCATGTACCGTTGTACCTCTGTATTATAAGAGTCTGTCTGCATTTCTAATCCCTGAGCTGCAGATGTTTAACAGGTTGGCAGAAGAAGAGATAGAGGGGACACTGCAAGACCTCCATCAGGTAGAAGATTCTGTAGGTATACCCTTAAGGTGGGACCAAGTTTGCTTTAGAAAGCTAAACTGAACTATTTCTACATTTTGCAATGGGGAAGAGGAGGCATAGCAAGAGAAGGATGCTGTACCAGGACAGCAGATGTTAGTTTTCCTCTAAAGAGCAATTAGTAAGGCTATTGCTAACAAAAAAGACAGGGCATCAAGAAATAATGAGAAAGAGATTGTGTAAATTACTCTTTAAAAACAAGTTAGTTCAGAGAGAATTGTAACTCTACCCCTTAACCCACCTGTTGTGTCTGCACACAGAGGGGTTAAAAGTCTTTTTTTTTAAAAAGGGGGGTTGTTTTACAATACTGGATGCAGGTGAGTCTGAGGAGGGAGTCTACCTTTATTGCTTAGTTATCTATTGCAAAATACAGCTAGTAAGCACTGTGCTGAAAATAAGGTTAATAAACATGTAACAGTCTGTCCTTCCAAATGCATCATCTGATCACAGCTTCTGCCAAGTATCTGACGAAGCTTGTCAGACTTCCCTCATATCTCTCCTACTAACATGTCTCTGCAAAGGCAACACTTGAAAACTCTCCTTGATCCTTTTTGTTGGATACATCTTATCTGGCTTGTTGAAGTTGTGCATCCAAGCAGGTAGGTTCCCTGCTGGAAAGAAACAGGTGTACCTCTAAAGTGGCATTCACCCCAGAGAGAAGTCCCTAGAGGTAGTGGATTGAATCTTTCATTGAAAGCACCCGTCTCTTTCCATTGCATGCACAATGAATATAGATAGCAAGATCACACTGGACAATAAGAGAGAAGTTGAAAGAAACTGATGGACACAGGAAGTTATTGATGAACTAAAAGAATAAGCTTCCCAACCCTCTCAGAGACAGTGTGAATGGTGTGAGTGAGGGAACAGTGATTCCCCCTCGCTTGTTTGAGACTCAGACTGTCTGCAGATTCTTTCATGCCAGTTGCCCAGCCTTGCCATCAACCCTGCTTCTCTCACAGATTTGATGGAGTCCAGGCGATTTCTGTTGGCCATGATCTCTGCTTGGAAAGTCTGGTGCTTCTGCAGTTTGGTCTGCAGATTGCTTGGATCCTTCCAGCTATCATCCTGGGCAATGCTATTCTTCTCATTGATCCAGGCAGCCACCTTTGGGGAGGAAAGAACAGAAGTAGACAAAACCTTCATTGTTTCTTCAGCTCCAACCTGCCAGGCTCTCCTCTAATATGTATAAAATATGGGACTAATGAGTGGGGACACAAATGAGTTGTCCTTCTGAGATTCTGCTTCCCTAAGATCTTCCTGTGTTTCATAATGAAGTCACCCCTTATCTCTGTTTACCAGCACTGTTACCTGGAAAGGGGGCTGTCTCCATGAGATAGTCCCCATGCCATGAGAAAGTGTGTGGGCACATATGTGCATGTACACATGTGTACATGAGGGAGAAAGGGCAATTATCTCCCTATTTCTAACCCACTGTCAGTATCTCACAAGAAAATAACTAAGTTGTCTCCTCCCATGAATTTTAAAACAGTGACACACTCCCTTTTAATGCATTTATTTCTTTTGCATTTTGCTGGCATCCAATGCATAGTAGATCTTTCATCTGGTGACTGGAGGGAAGCTGCGACTTGAAAGCTGAAAAATATCCCTTTACACTTATCCTCATCTTTCCCAATATAATCTCATTCCAGACTCAGTTCCTTGATTTTTTTCATAGTAAATGCCTTCAGGGATTCAGACCTATGCAGCACAGTATGTTTTAAGAAACCATGAATCTTGTGTAATTGTACCTCAAAGGAATTCCTCAGCAACTTCTGCAGAAGCCTTGATTCCTCTAGCAGATGTCTGCGAGCAGCAGCATTCTCCAGCAGTTTCTCTTTCCTGAGATGAAGACAGTTGTGTGAGGTAAAAGCCACAAAATGAATTAGACAGGATAAAGGTTTTCAATTTTCATCTCTAAAACACACATGATCTAACCCTCCATTCTCTAGGAGAGAACGGTCCAGAATATGCAGTCTCATGATTTGGGCTGTCAGAGAAGATGCTCAAGACACTATAAGAAGGATTACTAGCTGATAGATATGTTTAAAGTACACAAATTCTGTATATATGATATCTGCCTTTATTGCCTTTCAGGGTACAAGAGAACATAAACTCAGCATGTTTCTTATATGGAAAGCCTGTGAGTATGATGGTATTTGTCATTGATAAACCAAAGCTACACCATCCTTTCATCTTTTTTCCAAATGTGGACTTTATTCAGCAGCACTTTATTCATGTTAATGCAGGCATGAGGTAGTTTGATCATGTGAATAAATTCAGATGTTCACTTTAATCACAAGGGATCTCTAATCTCTCTTTGTAAATTTTACGTATAACTTTTCATCTACCATAGCACTGAATACAACTACTTCTACTATCAGCTTTTGTTTAAGATGAACAATATGCAATGTGCTAAGAGAAATAAAGTAATTCACATGAAGGGACAAGATCTGATCACAAAAATTGCAAATGCTTTAATAGATAATTTGAGCAGGGCTTTAAGGTCAACTCCATTAGAGCAGTGAAAAGGCAGTTGTGTAGCAAATGACCTTTCTCAATGATATTTAATGATAATGAAGTATTTAATAGCACAGCAGGCCTCTGTCTTTTGTTTGCAGTACTGTCCCTAAGGCCAGGTCAGGCTACAGAATTACAAGAAAACTGCCTTTTTCTGAATCCCTCTCCCCCTCCACTTAACTGCATTTTGGAAACCTCCCAACGTAATATTGATTAGACTTAGGCCAATTTGGCAAGACCACAGTGCAAAGCGCAAAGTTGAGTAAATGCAAACCAGTTTATGGTTCTCTTAAAAAATTTAAGGATGTTAGCCACATGGGGAGAGTCTCATTGCAAAAAAGATGGGTGGCTGACATGGGAAGAGTTTGACTTCACCTCCTCAGAACAGCCTGGCATCTGTTGATGATGTTGTCTGAGTCATAATGCTTGTTCTGTGTTAGCTGCTGAGCAAATGAAGCCATCTCATCAATTTTCTCCATCTGAGCTTCCAGGGCTTTTTCAAACTGCATGTGTTTCCGCTGTAGGCTCTCCACACTAGACACTGAGTCCTGGATAGAATTCAACAAAGGGAGGCTGCTTTCAGTCAGAGTTTTTCCATCCACAGCACTGATGATCCAGAAGCTAAATGGCGTTTACCCTACATTTGCAAGATGTCCAGAAAATTTATTGGTCTTTGAAATTTATTGGCATTGAATCTGAGACTTGGGGCATAAATAATGTTCTATGCATGGTCTGAGGCCATTATTTCGGGGTCAAAACTGCACTAACTGCTGGATGCTTACCTTCTGCTGCATATTGTTGTGCTGCATAGAACATATCACTTCTCAAGGGATAAAGCATCAGCTCCTAATAGTAAATCAATCTTAAGACAGATGCTATTTTGGAAGCAAATGTGGAATGCCAAACTGAGATCAGAGTTAAGTGAACAAATATGTCACAGAAAGAGATTAAAATTAGAGCCTCGGTTTCAACCCATGGAATTTAGAAGAGCTCAGATCCAGATTTGAATTTGAGGACTGTGGTCTGACATTACAGTTAATCTGGAGAGAAACACGGAATTTGACTTCTTGTAACATTTGTGAATCCCAGGCTTAGTGATTCAGAGTTCTCTTTTCAGCACCCCTCTGCACTTTTAATTTTAGAATCAGTGGTGTCAAAATGTTTTTACTGCAATAAACTCTGCTTTCCCACTATTTTAAAGGAAGCAGTAAAGCTCACATTAAATGAGTCAGAAAAAAATCTAAACTTCTGGATGCTTACATGAGTCACTGGAAGGGAAGGTCCTCACACAGCATTTTCTGTGCATTGCTGAGCTAAATATGACTGGAAAATAAGTGGTTCCTTCTAAGTCTTATATACTTCAGTGGATGGACTGTAAACACATACAGTTAGAGAGATGCAGTGTCATTTTCCTGCTATAATCAGAGTAGGCGGACTGTTTCATTGCTCTTGGGGCTGACAATCCTATCCTGTGTAAAGTATCAAGGAATGAAATCTGATCCTAAACTGTCAACAAGATTGAACAGTAACTTCAGAAGGAGGGAGATCACAAGAAGGTTCAGAACACATCATTATACTTGACAGCTCCCTTTCTTCCAAACCGATTGCAGAAAAAATTGTGTTTTCTCAGAGCACCTACCCCTAAGTCCTCATTGGCTAGGAAAGCCTCTTTGCTGCTGAGCCAGCTCTCAGTCTGTTCCACACTGCTGTAGAATTTCTGTACAAGGAAAAAAAGCAGTCGTAAACATGGTGTAAAACAGAGGCAAACCTGACTTTGGCCAAGTATGCTGAAAAAACCAAACTCCCAGGGCTATTCCAAAAATTAACTGCATAGCACTGGATGGCAATAAGCATTAGATGCCACAAAAATCACATGCATAACAATTATCATTGTAACTTTCTGCTTTATAATATGATTATTTCTTTTTGTCTAAGACATAGGATACAATACAATTACTTGTAGCTTGTTTGCTAATAGTGTAGAGTGCTGTGTAAGGTAACTGGCCAATAAAAAGGAAAGTAACATGGTCTGAAATAAGTAGAGTGTAATACATAAAGAATCATGAAAGCAGCCCTTACCATATGGTCTAAGTTCTGATATATATGAAGCTTTTTAGATGGGACTAGTAGCACCAGCTGTTATTTAAGGTACTTGACATTCCCCATTGTAAAACCTCCATTTCAGTTATTTCTAACTTTTGCCAACAAGCCATCTGAGCAGAAATTTCGTAAGCGAGATGACTGTTACAGGGAAGTATTTCTGGAAAACTGCAGCCAAAACAGTTCTTTTCATAGAAAAAAGCCAGGGAAAAATACAGTATGCTAAATTTTTCTTCAGATAATTTTTGTTTTTTAAATACTTGCCTGCCTCCATGTTTTTGGGGGAGATTATGGAATTTGGTAGAGTAGTGATGTTCCATTTTACATATATGCCTTTTGCTGCATGAGAATTTGACCAAGTTCTGCTAAGTCTCAGAGCCTTTGAAAAAAACATATGAGCACATATTCCACAGAAATTTCTTTGATTTGTAAAGGTACAATTTCTAAAAGTCCTGCCACCATTGAATGTGCTTGGTCCTCAGCATGCCTTCTGGAAACCAATGAAATATCCATTAAACACTGGGTATTATTAAGTTATCTTTCATTATACTACCCTATAAATTTGCTGTTTATACCAAGAAAATTTGTCATTGGCATATGCATTCTCTGTTGAATGTCTTTTTACTCACCTGTAAATCTTGTGCCTGAAACAATTTTATATATTGTTCCTGCCATGCTTGGATCAATTCAGACCAGGCTTGCTGAAGTCTGGAGAGGGACTGGTGAATCTCTGGGGTTGCATAGTGACCAGAACTGGCAAGTTCTTGACCATAGTTACTGAGAGAGTTGAATCTTTCCACTCGTGCTTCAATCTCCTCCTAAAAGATATTACTAAGGTTGATGACAAGGGTTTATGGAACACCAGTTATTCATAATACAAGCCTTAAGGGGAAGAATATGGGCTGTAACTTTCCAACACTAATATTTGCATGGAAAATCATTCATCTTCGAGCTATGTAAGAGCATAGAATTGCCTAAGAGAAAATAAGTGTGGACAATAAATGACTTTATTGCTCTAGGAGCAACTGGTCTCCTACAAATCAAAATTGGGATTAAATTAGAAACAGATTAGAAAATGATTAGATATATATGAACACAGTTTTGAAAAACCATAATACTGTATCCCCCCACTCTTCCTACAAAAAGGTGGTTCTTATGAGAAACAGTGCCTAGAATTTTTCCTCTCCTGCCAAAGAAGTTGGCATCAGATTATTACTTTAAAGACACAGTTTTACTTTACCTTTGTGGTGTTAAAATTAAATAAATTTCACTTTTTCACCTGGTCTGAGGAATGAGTTATGCCTATATACTGAATCCTGAAAGGTGAAAGCATTACAAGCAACTATGACATCTGCAAACTGAATGTGGAATTCCTAATGTAAACAATTTGAAAATAGAAATAACCATGCACTGAAATAATACTACGTATTAACTCATAAATCACCTTAAAAACTATGGCATGTACTATTAAATGTCTTTTTAACGTCTTAAAAGGGATTTTTTGGGAGGTGGGGCTGCCCAATCATAGATAACACAGCTGTAAGATAGCCCTTTATTTTTTTAATTCAGATTAGCATCTTGTGTTCAACTCTAGTCTCTTCTAAGGACTTTGGTTTCAGCCACTAACCTGAATGAAAAAAAACCCCTCCATTTTAATGGTCTTGTCTATAATTTTAGTTTAGTCAACCCAATACAAAAGAACATATTGCCTGGATTCCTCCTTTTCTGTGTGACTATCTCCTTAGAGTCATCTGTGTTCCTTTACTAACAGATATTAAAGACTTAGATCTTGCTACCACCTAAATTTGGAGAACACTACATCAGTGGTTTGGGGTTTTTCCTATTGTGACAAAGAATTATTAGCAAAACATTAAGTCTGTGGTATGAGAGAACATTGTTAAAGTGGAAGACTCTGAAAAAGGAGGGGACTTCAGGTACTTCATACTAAATTCAAGTCTAGAAAGTTAATCAGAATCTACAAACTATTTCTGCTAATAATGGGACCCACAAAGCACTGGATATTAGTCATGATTCTAGGAGCATGATTTTTAGAAAAAGTAACATAACTGCAAAGAGAAAGTAATGCAACAGCCAAAAGATAGCTATGACGCTTGGGAAAAAGTAAAATATTAACTTTTTTCTAAGGTTAATTAACAATATAACTCTTTTTAGAAAATCCACCAAAAATATTAGCCAAATTAGCCACCAAAAGATTGTGTGGTAATTAGTACTGGGATATGAAGTGTTTCAGAACTGAATGTGTAGTACCATCCAATGGTAATTTACTGCCCTGTGTGAGACAAACTGCTGTTTTTATTTTGCTCTCAGGCAAATTGAGTTTCATGACAAAATCTAACTCAAAGCTAGAATTAACTGGCATTAACTTTTTGGCAATCTGAAGAAAGAGATCGGCAGTAAGCATGTTTTGATACTGAACCAGCTTTTTACCTACAGTGCTGGAGAGCAGTACAAATGGGAGTAATGGGGCTTTCTGAGACTTTTGGCAGAGACATGAACTGCCAAACAGCCCATGGGACAGACTTCTGTCAATATGCAGGTGTCTTCTGTCCCTAGCCTGTTATTGAAAATAGTCTTTTCACCGTGTTATTGACAGATGCCTGCAGCAAAATTCTGCTGTGTCTGCAGCAATTTATTCCCATGGGAAGGAACCAATATGTTCAATCAGAAGCAATGATATACTTGCCTTTCTCTCCTGATGCTCCTCAATCATGCTTTCCGCTTCATTTGCGCTTTTAGGAAGCCCCCCTGCTTCCATTAATCCTCTTATGTTTTGGGTCCAATCTAGCATCTCCTTCATCTCCAAGTTAAACTTCTGCAACTGATAGGAGGCTGCCAGCTTCTCCTTCCTGCCACACAATGTGCAGTTTAGCATTATCAGACACAGAGTTATCTAGTTGCCTCTCCCTCCCCATTTGCAGAGGAAGGTATCCTAGGAGAAGCCAAATGAAGTAAATTCAAGCCTCCTAGGATACCTTTCCCTTACGGCTCCTAAGAGTCCTCATGTTAAACTAAAATCACAAGAAATGCACACTGCCTTGGAGACAACATGCGTACCTTATTTTCTACATCAGTTCATTAGGACAAGAAAGGTTAAAAAGCCTTCATAGCTGTTGCTTCCAGCAATAATTACAGCTCAGGTATAAGCCTTTCTTGTTTTGGAAAGATTCAAGAAAAAAGATGTTTTCTAGAACTATAAAAAAATAAGTCTTTCACAAAGGCTTCATGATAGATTTAATCTGATAGTCTGGAGGTATTTTAGTAACATTATTCAGTGAGATAAGCCACAAACTCATTGTATGAGTTTTCCCAGAGTTATATCAGTAGACCTTTTTTTGTACCAAGTCACACTTGTTCCAATGCAGGTGTCTTAGCTGCCTATATAAACTTTGTAAAGGATCCTCAAAAACTTATAAAAGGCGCCTGGCAAATCGATTTGAGACCCCAGGGAGCAGCTTTGCTCCTGCTGAGAGACACTCAGACCACTAGAAGTTTTTACCTTTGTTTGGCCTGTCCCTGGAGTCGTAGCCAGTTGTTTTTCATCTCCTGTTTCTTCATAGTCAGTTTGTCATTTATGGATGGATTCCTTGTGGAAAGGCGGAAAGTTTCTAATTCCAATGGCTGGGAAGAGATTTATAGTGGGGTGAATTTATGCCAAATGCTTATATTCATTCCTGAGTTTGCCTTTCAGAACAAGCAGTTCATTTTAAGATTCCAGTTTTTAAAAGCAGGTACTTAAATTACAGTTACAAAATATACAAAGGGACTTGTTATATGCACAAAAAATACATATGCATTTGCGAGCAATCATCCATGTGAAGAAAGAAGTTTGTGTGTTCCTTCACATGCACAAATGTTAATTTACAATTAAGAAAGCAGTTTTGCAGAATAAGGACAAACATACAGGAAAATGAAGTGCTAATTGTAACCTCTATTAGCTTAATTTAAGATGGATAACAAAAGCCATGAAAATATGGCAGTACACAGAATCAACCAGATTTGCCTTTCAGCAGAAGACTCAAAAATCATTTGCATCTCTAACAGCAGCATGGAAACACTCCTTTCAGTGTAGACTTCTAGTTAATGCTGTTTTCCTTAACAGAGCCTGATAAAAAGTAGTGAACACACACCAACTCAGATTTAAAGTTGGTATCTTTCTTGTTAAATTCCATCAAATTGATGAAAATGAAGAATTTTAATTATGCAGAAAGGATGATATGACAGGCTGGTTTTAATCCATAAGAAAAGTACGGATATTATACTTTGGCATATATTACTGTGGCAGCATCAAAAAAACCCAACCCCAAACCTTGCTTATCTTTCTCTTTCCATGCAGCACTCCCCCATACAGCCTTGCTAATGCTATCTGTGGAATGCTGACTAGTAATCACCCACATTTCATATGAGAATAAGCTAACAAAGTCACAATGTGTGAAAGTATCACACATATTGTCACCATTTCCATACTTTTGTGAAGAAAAGGTTTAGAGAAAGTTTGCAAAAATATTTTCTATATGAAAAGGCTTAACACTCTGGCCAACAGTGAAAACAGTTGAGAAGTGGTCACAGAATTTCTATTATTGTGGTTCAGCTGAAAGCATTTCTTTTTATTAAAAATATACAGTTACGTAGGAGCTCAGACCATTATTTAATGCTCAAGATTAGTCCTAAATGATGCAAACCGGCCATTTTACAAAAGCCAGAGATGATCAGGCAGACAATTATAACCGAAGATTTCTGGTTTTGACGTCTGTATCAGAAAATTACATACACTGGGGGTTTTGCATTTTAGCTCTAAACAGAACTAGAGCTGCGATTTTGGTTCAAGTGAGTACAGAAACTGGGATAAAGATGGAGAGTTAAATTTGGATTCCACACTTTGCAAAAGATACAGAACAATCTAATCTGGCTTGTAGGTGAGGGCCAGAGAATCAGCCAACAGTTAAAAAGGGATTTCTCTTTTTAAATTTGGTGCATCAGGAAGAATAACATTTGAAATAAAGTAGGATTAAGCATCACAGTATTTTACTGAGAAGAAATCTGTGCTGCATTTGCATTGCAGTGCAATTCATACTAATGAATCTGAAGAGTCAGGCTGATCTTTGCACCATGTTTCCAAGAAGCAAAAATGAACTTTTTTTACAGTATCCTCTGTACTTCCCCACTTCTTACCTCCATTTTGGACTTAATAACACTGATTTCTCTCTCCATCTCTTCATGCCTTCGAATTAGGTTTTCCACACTTTCCACATCTTTCCCATAATCCAGTGCTTGTATCAGTACACTCTGAAGGGGGCAGTAGGATGTGCAAATGGTGAAGATGACAAAAAGCAAAAGGATCATATCTTAGTTCTTTCAAGTAGTCTCCTCCTTCCCTTCTTTGTATTGCCATCTGAGTGTTCTTATTATCTTTCTAAATATCAACGGGGCATCTTGTCTGCACCCCTTACAGAGATGGAACAAGAATTCACAACCCTTTGAACAGCTGCAATCCTACTTAAGGTGCCTCTGGGTATTCACATATAAAACAAAGACAGGAATGCTTCCCTGCATTTCTTAATCTTTTTTTTCCTTCTTTTTTTTGCATATACCAAACCAGCCAAATATTACCCATTAAATTGTGGCACAGAAATTTTCAAGTATGTTTTATGAAAATATAGAAAATAAAATTGACCCTCAGAATCCTACTAGAAATGAAATCTCTGATGATGAAGAAATACATCCATAAAAGTTGTTATAAAAATTTCAAACCAACAACCTTAAGTAGTATCACTCTGTATCTGCCCACTGACTTATAGTTAAATTAATAACATTAGTTATGTGCATGAAATAATTAGTTTTTATATAGCCTTTTTCTTCTATTAATCTCAAAATTATAATCCAGGATAGGCATTTTTACCTCCATTTTCTGAATGAATAAAAATTTTGTTACAACTTTTTTTGTTACGTGGGGGAGTGAGTGAGTGGCTGTGTGGTGCTTAGTTGCTGGCTGGGGTTAAACCACAACAGGTATTCAGAACCAACTTAGTTCAGCAATGTCTGAGGGAGATGTACACCCGTGTCAGTAACACAGCAAAAAATAGACACCAGTCCCTTAGTTTCTGAGATTTGTATCCTACTTACTGCATCTTGCTCTGTTCCTTTCTTGTGGAAGGATTTACCAGACCACATGGAGATGTCTACAAATTTAAAGATGCTGCAGCTTAATTACTTGTCTAATTCTCCTTACAATTAGTGGAAAGCAGTCACTGCTGGAGCATGCTTTATTTCATCCTCAAGAGGACATTTAAAATAGATCAAATGCACTGAGCTCTAGAAGTACCCGCTTCTTTCTACTGACTGTGGAAAAAACCATGGATGACTACTTCAGATATAGCACGTAGTCACCTAATACTAGAAGTACTATTTAATAGGCAATACCATTTGACTAGAGATCATTAATTAGAATCACAGAATCACAAAATAATTTAGGTTGGAAGGGACTTCTGAACATCATCTAGTCCAGCCCCTGGCCAAAGCAGGGCCACCTTAGATCAGATTTCTCAGGGTCGAGAAAGCTAGTTGAGATTTGAATGTTTCCCAGGACAGAGAATCCAGTCTCTACAGGTAACACATTCCAGTGTTTGGTCACTCTCATTGTGATTTTTTTTTCACTTTACACCTATTTGGAACTTTTCTTGTTGCAACTTGTACCCACTGACTTTCACTGTTTCACTGTCAACCTCCAAGAAAAGTCCAGCTTCATTTTCTCCGTAACCTTCTGGTAAGTAAAGATGGCATCCCCTTTTATTGCAGGGTAATCTGTAATTTCTCACAATACATTTCAAATGTACCTTTGAACTGTGAATGCCTTAGAGTTGGTAATCTGCAAAGTATTTGATGACATTTCAGCCTTCCTACAAGCTTGATACACAGATAACTATCACAGGTCGCTGCTGGATACTCAGTATATCCCTACCACCTGGCATGCCTGGGTTTATCACTGTTGGCAAAATAGAACATTTTCTCATTTCAACTAATCAAAATCAGAGAACTCACCTTCTCAGTAATTCTCTCTGTGATGTCATCAATTTCTCTGATTAAGGCATGAATCTCTAGGGCTCCCTCTAACTTCTTCCTGTATGCATTCAGGTTACCATGGAAGCTGTTCCACCTTTTATTGAAAAGAATATTTTAGAGGTGTATTTCAGAGGTGAGGATTTCCACAACTGAGTTTCATGATCCTCAGATCTAAGTAAAAAGACAGGATTTCTGAACTACCTTGTGCATTGATCCCAAATCCCCCACAATAGTGGACACAACACAGAAATAAAGCATTAGTCTGACAAGACTATCTGGTTATATTTGTACCAAATTTTCAGGATGGTATGGGAGTTAAAAGCTAAAAAGTACTGATCTGGTTTCATTAAACTCTCAATAACTTCACAATTCCTATCTTTATATTTCTAGTTCTTGGATAGTGGGCTGTGAAGTAGCAAAAGCAATATACACTTCACCAGGATAACTATGTGAACAGATAGAAGTGTCTTGGCTTCATGGATCTAGTGTGTAAAGTGCTGTGAAACAGCATATTTGCCTTCAAGGCTAGAAACATAACTTTGGCCCTGCTGGGTTAGAAATCCTTCTGGCTAGCTGCTTGGAGAGTCTTGAAGGGCAACTCCCGTGCCTGATGTTTGTCAGTCATGATGTTAAAGAAGAAAATAAACGTTGCAATTCCTCCCTTTATGCCAGCCCAAGACATCTAATCTGCCCTTCTTGTTCTTGCTTTACACAGAAGTTTTAAAAGCATACTCACTTCTCATTGAGCTGCTTTCGACGCTCATATATTGTCTTTGTTTCTTCCTTATTCTGTCTCTCCAGTTTCATGGCCAGGGCATTGATAGCCCTGATGTGAGCATCGTCCACTGTTGTCTCCTGTAAAGTGAGAAAAGGAACAAAGGTATGTGTTTGAAATGTTTGTGACTGAGTTTTTCCACTGAGACATGAAAAGCAACAATAACAGCATCAAGTAAGGGTTTTAGCTCACTACCAAACATTTCAGACACACAGGGTTTGCTCTACTACAACTGCTGGTGTTACCAGTCCCTGATGAGAAGACAACAAAGACAAGAAAGGACATTAGAGAAAGGACAAAGATCTAGGTCTAGATTAGGACCCTCAGAGCTTCATTTCTAAGTCAGACATTCCAGCAGGGTCTCATCTGTTAAGGAAACATAGGTTCAGTTGCTGGTTACATAGGTGGCTACTGTGGAACAGCTGATGTAGTTGAAGATCCTGATCTAGTTGAACATGTCCCTGTTTGTTACAAGGGGTTTGGACTAGATGACCTTAAAAGGTCCCTTTCAGTCCAAAGATTTTATGATTCTATGTGTAGCAGATTGTTCCTCTGTCAAACAGGTAGTGCCTTGTGGCTCCCAGGCCTACTCGCTGTTTTTTCTAGATAGGCTTCTGTCCATAAGTGCTTAAAATCCATATAGCCTTGAGAAACTCGGACAACCCATGCCGTTATGTTTTCTTCCAAAGCAACATCACTGCATTTTAAAAGGTATGCTAAGTCTTCGAGGCAACTTGCTTCCCATATACATACCATAGAAAGGATAATATTTGCACATTGCACATATAATCTGGACTACAGTGGAATAATTGTTCTTTTGGAGCATGACAGATGGCCAACACTGAACATTGCTCCAAGATTCAAAAACATTCTCTATTTTTCTAAGACCAGTAAATGCTCCCACAAGCTTACTGGGGAGACATTAAACACTGGTGTAGTAGAAGCACAGCTGCAAGATGCCAGCATACTCTTAATAGAAGTATTGACTCCATTTGTACTTTATTTATGCTACATCCATACCAACATGTATGCTTCCATATGTTCTTTACTATCATACATAGCCATAAAGTAAACAAGAGAAACCAGTAGACAGATATTCTTCAGAAATCCTACAGTCTCCTCTCCTGGGAAATAACAGCAGCACAATGTGACAGAATACTAGTTGAAAATCTGGCAGCCATCAGTGCAGGATGATTGCTCCCTATCCTGATCTCAGATTTGTCTAGTGGGGAAACCTAGACTGGATGGATGCACACGCTCTGCCAGCACCAGCCTGCTTCTGTTTGTATCATGCATCAGCTATGAGGGTATTGTTGTCCCAGCCTTTTTCTGTAGGAGTCATGTTCAGAGTGGTACAGGAGCAGTGGCTACAAGCTAGCAGTATCTAAGGCCAAGAGTTTCCTGTGGGCACATAAAATCTACCTGGGACACTGTGTTGTTTCTGTCTCTTTCACCATCCTCCTTTTGGCTGGTACAACCTGTAGCAGGGCCCTTGCTCCATCCGTTAGCTCACAGTTCAACCGGTGAGGGCTGAAGGGCAAACAAAGGTTTCCTCACTTCACTAATTCCCTGGTGCTGAAGCTTGAGTATTTTGTCTCCCTAACCCAAACCCAGTACTAATGCATTGTCACAGGAAATTCTGCCAGCCTCTGGAAAGCGAGGCTCAGGGTTTCCTCCCAGGTGTCAGGCATATCTATGCTGTTACTTTGTCTAGAAGAGGATTGTTTCCTTCTGCTATTAGGCAACAGAAATAGAAGATGGATGCTGCCATAACAGGAATTGGCAACAAGATAACAGGCAAACAAAGGATAAAGAATATTAGGAGGGAACATTAGACTAAGCCTCACTCACAAAGTCCTAATACACCTCCTTCCAGACCTTCCTCACAGCTTCCAGACTAGCAAATCAGCACAGTAATCTTTCCTTCATGATACTCAGACCTGCAGTCTACATTTGTAGCAGTTCACACCAACAGAGAGAACAAGAGGCTGCTGCAAATGCATCCCCTCGATGTATGGCCTCACAGCTCTCATGATGGGAGCTGAAGCACATCACAAGGAGGCCCTTGCTCTGGCAATGTCTGTTCCCCAGCATTCACAAGGTTTGGTGGCCAGGTTAACACATCTCACTGGGGGCAAGAGAGGCAGCTGGCATGACTCAGCACCACAAAACTGGGTCAGAGATCACAGCACAAAAGGGTGAACTGTGCAGCTGTCTTGTCACATGGCTGCTATCCAAAGTGTAAACCATTGCTTTGTTTTACTAAATGTCTGTTTATTAATGTTATGATTCATGACCTACCACATATGCTGTATAAACAGAGTCCCCCAAATATATGTGCTTCATTTGGATGAAGGAATATGAGAAACTTGACTGTTCCTCAGGAGGAGGGGAAGGGAGAAATAAAGGAGGAAAATGGAAAAAGTGGGCAATCTTTTGTTAACAGGCTTGTTCACGGAAGGTCTATATCAACTTTCAGATTCAAACAAACATGGCTGAAACAACCATTTTTAATCCACCTTTGGATGGAACTCACTGTGACTTGCAGACTGCATGAACCAAACTGGAAATTTGCTCAAGTTCAGGCTCACACAACCAGCTTTCCAGTCATGTAATGTAATCCAAAATTTTAGGTTGTGTCATGAGTGCCTGGCAGCTCTGTCTAGACATCATCAAAGCAGAAGGCACACTGAAGGAAAATTTTACCTATTTTAAGGGCTTATAAAGTGGTAATGCTTCCTACCCCCCGATCTTTCACCTCCTCAGGGTACTGGAACTGTGTTTGCTATCTGGATATATTGCTGGGCTGAAAAGGTAACTGCTGCTTCCAGCCACACAAAGAATATACACGGAAAACACTGCTTACCCCTGATGTTGCTCCATGGAACTCATTCAGCTTTTTCATGAGCTGCAGGCAGTGTTCATAGTCGTTTCCCACATCACCTACATTAATCATGACTTCCTGGGGAAAAAAGCAGCAGGCAGGCAAACATTCAGGCTAAGAGTACAAGAACACAGTATATCCCAGTGTTTATGCTGATGCAATCAGTTCTGTGGTGTGTCTGTAAATCACTGACCTACAGCTTCTGAAGTAGTCTCTTCTGATCTGTAGATACTTATGAGACAGCCCCAACTCCCTCTCCAACCTATTACTGATTATGGAAGCAACCTCTGAATGGAAACTTAGTGGATGAAGTGACTCTTCCTTCACTCTTACAAAGAGAAACTTTCAGATTTGATACACAATGAGAGTGAGTGCCTGTTGCCAGATGGTTCAAGTCTCTTCCATTCTATTCTTCTTTCATTTCTCTGTCTTGATAGAGACACACAAGATGACTACCAATAATCACAATCTCTTTATGTGCACATTTTATATGAGGACATGTGCTAATACTGTCTGACTCTGGCATGGAAACACTCCAGAAAATTTTTAGAATTTGTTGAATCATTCCTTCCATATTATTTGTAGAACATGGCATGATTCTTCCAGGCAAAAGCCACTAAGAAAATATCCTGGAAGAGGACACGTTTATCAGAAGTTCATTGCTAAATAGCCAGTCTCTAGTATGCTGCTTGGGTTAAATACTAGATTCCATTTACCTTCTCCCTGATCCAGGCTTCCACCTGGTCCACCTTCTGGAGAAATTCCAGGAAATCCCGGCTGTCCTCCAGCATCTTTCCACGGGCAGCAACAGCTCTCTTCAACTTCTCCCAATGCTCCTCAAGCATGTGGACTCGGTGACGGACCTCTCCTGATTTTGGGTGGCATTTTGATAACAGGACTTCTCCTTTCTTCACATTCAGAAGAAGAAATTAGAAATTAAGGTTGCCACTAATTACCATGTGATTACCATGTACCATGACCTTTCCAGAAGGACGCTCTCACTTTCCTAACCTGGACTGCACAATAAATTACTAATATAAATTCTTACTGCCCAAATGATATTGCTCAGCTGGCAAGCTTTTACATCTGGAGGGAATCAAGAACACTAAGATTTGAATATATCTCTGCCAAGAATGACATCCATGGACTGGGAGCACCAAGAGAGGTATTACAGATAATTGTACCTTCAGCTATGTGATTCACCCAGTTTCAACAAGAATGTTCACAAACTGGGCATATGAAATCCTATTTACCTTTTATAGGAGTAATCACCCCAGGCAAAGAAGAAGTCAGTGATACCTGCCTGTTCGGGCAATATGGAAAGATGGACGTTCCCTGGATAGACAAATCTCTCTGTTGTAAATTAACAGCATTCCAGTTCCATGGCATAACAACTGAGTTCTTGTCACACAAGTGGTGAACAAGCTACCCTTCCTTTTCTTCCATCTATCTGCCCTTTGGATAACCAGGAATAATCTGTAAAAACACTGTCAGAGTGAGAGTTACCTTATTAACAGCTGTGATGATTTCTTCATTTGCTAGAATCTCTGCCTCAAAGACCTGATGTTTCTGCAGCAGCTTCATTTTGTCCTGCAGATTGCTGGGGTCTTGTATGGAAGGATCCTGTAGCTTCTGCATGCGCTTACTGATCCAGTCTTCTGCCTGCAGCATTGTGAGGCATCAGAGTTAGCATGACAAGTACAGGCTGTCCTGGGGTCTCCTCCCAAGACATGTCATTGTCCTATGCAAGTGTCTATGCTATGCCAGGTGGCTCTCCAGTTTCGGAACTATTCTACTTGATAGGAAACAAAAGCAGATAGGAATGAAAAGAATTCTTATCTGACCACAAGAATAATGAAAAATTCCTTAAATTCCCCAAATTTTATCACAAGCCATAAACAGATTATTCAGTCTTTTAGAACAGATACAGAGAATTCTTGAGCAGATATGCAGCCTTGACTGCATAACTTTAAAATGAAATTATGTCAGCTGAGCCTTGGTTTTAGGGCCCTGAGTTTCATCTCCTATCTCTGTTGTTAACCTATCTGTAAGCTGGGTTAAGATTCTTAAGAATTCTGTGCCTCACCTATAAAACAGCACTAACATTTCCTGATCTCAGTAATGTTGTGAGACGTACACAGAAAATGTAAAGCCAATAAAGCTTTACTGATGGGGCCAGCACTAGTCAGATTATTTGAAAGCAAATACAACTCTATTTGCTTTCATACTTCGTAAAATTCAAAATGGTCTAGTGAGGAACATCAGGTTCAGACAAGCAGGTGAACCATGAGGGCTAACGAAGCCAGGGTTATGTGTTTCTCTTAGGAAATTCTTTTTTAGGGGATGTAAATGTATGCAGAATAAAACGGACAATAGAATAGTAAGTTTTCCACAATTTTCTTTAAACTCTGCTAAACTTTAGGCCTTAGTGCTGAAGGAAATATTTTCTATCCATCAAAACACTGAGAACTGAACACTTGACATACGTTGTAACTGATCCTGTTGTCCTCAAACCACTGAAGTAACCTAATGTTTTGACAACACAAGAACAGCAAATTGAAACCAGCTTTATCAGTTTCAAAGCATCTTGGCTGTCCTTGTGGAACTGCGCTACATGAACGCAAGACTTGACAACCAGAGGATTTTCTCAGTTAATTAATGATTTGAAGTGTTGTTTCAGCTGCTGAAATTCTATAAACAATAACAGAAATAGCTTTCACTAGCAGCATGCTCTCCAGAAACTGTTCCCCTCCAAAGCACAGTTAGAGACTCAAACAGGAGCCTTATGTCAAGGTTGCCCAGGACACCATGCTGTCATTTGCTGTTTTCATTTCTGACACCCTCCTCACAAGCTAGGGCCTTCTCCCATTACCCAGCCATACATTAACGCTTTAACGTCACTTAACTGACTGACTTGTATGGGAGAGGGTCATCCAGTTAGGATGAGAAACAAATGAATCCCCTGTATATAACTACTTAAAAGGCTTTTTCTCTCCTACTTTTTAATAATAAGCAATGGTTTATAGAGAGACTGAACCAAGCCATATAAAAAACAAATCACATCTGCACTCTCAGTGGCTTGGTTTATTTTAAGGCTTACTTAGGATGGCTCTAGAGAAAGAGAGATCCTTCTCCTTGCCCCATGTCCCCATTCAGATATGAAGCAAGGCTGATCTGTTGTCCCAAGATCTTTCTATGGAAAGACTTACAGTTGTCTGGATAGGCATTTCCACTTTATTGAAGACGACATTGAGCCTAGTGTTATGCTCAGTGTAGGTACATGGGACCAGGCTTATTTCTATGGGACTCATAAAAAATATGGGCACTATCAATTTAGAAACCTACATTTTCGGAATATCAGTTACCATAACCTCAAGAACACAAACTTTTTGTAAATTACACTGATTTTTAATAACAGAAATATTTAAAGCATATAAAGTGTTGTGCCTGTTCTAGATATTTAGAGATAATAAATAATTCTCTCAATCCTCTGAGATAAAGTAGTAAACGTTTTTTATTCTCTTGTAGAGGGGGTGACAAGGAAAGGAAGTTAAGTGCCACTGATACGATGAGCAGGTTTCAGAGTCAGCATTAAAACTGAGATCCATCTTTAGAAGTAGAAGCTTTCAACTGTATGATCTTTCCTCTGCAATAACTTACATGAATACACATATTTCTAAGTAGTAACCTGTTTATTTGCCTTCCATGTTAACTCTAAGGTACAGACTTTGGGACAAAAGGATAGTCTGTAAGTCCATCTCACTTCTTTGGGACTAGAAAAGCACCATATTTCTACTGTAGGAGAGTATGTCCTATTTTGTGAGCGGCAGGTGACCTCCTAAGTTAGTTGTTGTGGGTTTTGTGCAGAAAAAAAAAAGTTCTATGCCCTGAAAATGGTACGAACTGCAGCAGCTAGCCTTCTAAGCAGACCATATGATGCTGAGCTCTCTGTTTGCTCATGAGTAATCACAGACTGTGTTGTCTTTGTACTGATGCATGTAGGTCTCTCCGTAATTGCTTCTAGAGAGTAACTGTGAGACTTTTAATGGTGACAGCGATCACTATTTTCTGCTGCCACAAAACACTCTGTCTGATCAATGGAAATAATTTAAGATCATTGCAGGAGGGTGAGTTTTCAGGGGAGTAGGACCCAAGCTATGGGACTTGTTCTAATAAGTAAGAATAAGCAATGACCTCATTGATTTCACAGCTAAACTCAAAACTCACCTCTGCAATTTAACATCCCTTTGGGGACTATTCTCATATATGAACTTCTACACACCCAGAACATCATTAAAATCAAATTAAACATTCCATCTACCCAACAAAGAGGAAGAGAGATAATACTGTAATTTGGTTGGGTTTTTTTAATTCTTTGGTGGTGTTCACATTCTACAGCAGTAGACAATGAATTCAGATTGGAGAGGTAAATGAGCAGGTAGTTTGAGAGCAAAAACTCCCTGTAGAACTCTTGACTGAATTTATGTGGAGAAAGTAGATGAGAAAAGGGAAACATTTCTCACTATAGAGGTCCAGATACTCTGCTATAAGTGTGTGATTCAAGAATGAAGGGGGACCCCCAGACCAAGCACTGATTTGACAATTACAGAGAGATGGGAAGAAATGCAGACGTATTCCTACCTAACAGGTTGATTGTATTTCTACAAGGGCATTGACAGTTTCTCTGCCAAGGAGGATGTTGGCAGTTCTGTGATATTTACATCAATGGTACATTGCTATTTTGAAAATATTATTGTGCTGTACATGGATTTTTAGCAGCCATTTATTCCTTAGATTACTCTTAAAAAAATAAAATTGTTTATCAGCATTAGCTGTGTTACAGGCATTCATTCACCTTTGGTGCCAATCATAATTTGACCTCTGTCAGGTCATGTGTCTTTTTCATGGACAGGTGACAAGAAACTGCAGTTTTTCTTTAAACCATGGAGAATATTCTATGGGATGCAGCAGCAGAATGGGTGCATACTAGACCAGCAAGAGTGTTTGTAAATGTCCCTCTGGGCCTGTGTGCTGTTGTTCATGCCAGCACACCGGATGCTAGCACATTTTTCAGTCACACACATTGTGTCTTTGAAAGACTGACCTATTATGTCTTTCCAACAGTAGTGCCAGGAGTAGAGCTATTCAGTTACAGGACTAATGCCAAAACAGGAGACAGAGACAAACATATTCTGTAGAGACCAGTCTACAGTAGCTGAAGAGCTATGCTAAGTTACAGCACTGGCCTTCAGTGAACAGCCAGTAGTAAAGCTTGGCACTCCTGCCGTAATGCTTTACACTTTCTGTTCTCCCTGATTTGAAATAGCATTTCTTTCCCACCAAAGGAAACATAAGGTAGTAGCTGGCAGTTTTCCTTTTATTAGTTTTATTTTGGCAGAGCTCCTGATGTGTAAAGCAGCTGTAATGAGAACAATGCCACAACGATGGTATAGCAACAGCAATGCTATACCTTTGTGTGGCAGAACAGGAATTACCACACCAGAGTAGATTGTCAATCCATCTAATCTCTGGCAAGGGCGAGCACTTCATCCAACAGAGGTAGGCAGCTCCTCTGCCTTCCACCCCCATCGCAGTCTAAAACCCTCTTACCTCTTCCAAGTTCTGGTAGAAAAGTGCCAGAAGAAGGGCAGTCTGAAGTGTCTCTCTCCTACTCTGGGATAGATCCTTGATCTGCAGCTTCCTCTCACAAATGGCATTCAGTTTGTGCTGGATCTTTAGCCCTTCCAGTCCACCAACCTTTTCTAGCCTGCTTGCCTGTTCTTGAAGAGACATCATCTGAGGAGGCAACAAATCTGACATTACTTTTATGAATTCAAGTGGTGTGAAAGAAACAAAAACCAGGTTCCTTTCCATAACTAAAAGACTATCTCTTTTTCTGGAATGAACAAGAATAGCAGGGACAATCTAACCAGCATTCCCCTCGCCCTGTACTATGTCACATCTACGATGTCCTTGTCATTGGTCTCTGTAGTATAACCTGGCTACTTAAATGAAATAAAGCTGTAGCTCCAGGAGTCCCTATGCCACTGATCATCCAGTGCAAGGAATCATGGAGAAAGCCTGACTCCCATGAGCACTCAGGCTTTATTGTTTTGTGGAAACCAGGTGTTGGAAAGTAGCTCTCAGCATGAACAATCAGTCTGTCAGGGAGCTGGCATAGGTTTTGGGGGCTCATTCCTTCTGGGGAACACAGGCATGAGACTTAATTAAAACTCATACGTTTGAGTTCAGCCCTAGCCTGGGTGAATTACAGCAGTGGTCACCCTCCAGGCAGATTCCTTTACATGTGGGTGTGTAATTCAGCATCTATTCCAAAGGTGCAAAGAGACTAGCCGATTTGGTACAGACATTGTATATCAACTGTATATTTAAATAATTATACAAGTCATCTTCTCTGACCTACTGTATTTTACTTGCTTTAAAAGTCACTGATTTTTTTATGAAAAAGCAGAAACTTCTGATATCCATAACACACAATATGACCCGTTTTAAATATTTCTTCTTGTAAGTCCCACTATTCAACTTACTAAGTAGTTTTCCAGTCTACTGCAAGACAATACAGGCAGGACTTGGGCATGTTTAACATTTGTTCTCCACTGCTCTGCGTCTTTTTCACTAAGCTTCCCCATTTTCTCTTTGTTTCAACCATATCAGGCATATCACACCTGTCAGCAATTTCATGTGTTGCCATATTAAAAAAAAAAAATGAAAAAAATCATTCTAGCTCGTGCATTGGTAGAATATTTGTTGATTTTTGTACCTTCTCATCCTGTGATGCCAGCAGCTTTTCAAAAGCCTCATGTTTCTTTATCAGTTGCTCTATTTCATCCACAGAGCTTCCAAGGTCACTGCTTTTCAAATAAATCTATAAAAAAAAGTTCCATATTTTTCTCAGTGGATTAATTATCACATAAACCTGATTCATAAATGTGAGAAGAGGCATTAACTCTACAGTTGAGAGTACACTTGAGAGGAAAAAAAAGGAACAGAAGGCAAATGAAATTGGAAATTAAATAATAGAGCTCCATGGTCTTGAGCAAGGAAGAGAAGCATTAACAGGTCCAGCTAAGGAAAGTGACTTATCACTGCTTATTGCAATCACTAAGTCACAAGGCTGGCAGTGAATTCCAGAGGTCTAAGCCATCCTTGTAATCCAAAGCAAGATCAACACTGTCATGTCTGACAGATGTCTGTATAATTCCTTCTTAGAAGACTTCCAATACAGAGACTTTGCAGCCTCCCTGAGCAATTTATTCCAGTGCTTCATTACCTTTACCACTAGCAAGATTTTCCAAATATCTAGCCTAAAAATGCATTGCTAACGCTTCACCTCATTACATACTGCCCTATTCATCACAGAAAGGAGATAATTCCTTTTACATTTGCTTCAGCCTCGTACATGTTTGCAGGCGTTTTGCATACTGGGATTTCTATCTTCTCTAGGCTAAAACTACCCTGATCTGATCAATCGTTCCTCAAAGTCTGTGTCTTCTTGATTCTGATTATTCTTATTGCTCTCCTCTGTGTTTTCTCCATTTCCACTTATTTTGAAATGAGGTTCCTAATACTTGACGGAATAAGTGGCAATAAGCAGTAAGGTTGCCAGAGTGAAGGTATTGAAGACAGCAGAGAACTTGTGTGCTTTTTCAAGCTTTCCACATGTATCTGTGTATGGTGCTGATCTTTTACACAATACCATGAACTCAAGTTCACCTTGCAATCTACTGTAAGCTTCCAGAACATTTTCAGAAGAACTGCTTAGACCAGCTTGTACCCATCCTGTATTTATGCAGCTGATTATTCCTGAAAAATGTCATAGTTTGCACCTGTAACAAGTGCATTACAACTATTATTTTTTACAGGCCATCTTTCTAACTTGCCTGCATTAATTTTATTTACTGTCTGTCCTAACAGTCTCTGACGCAGAAAGACCTTAGTCTAAAATAACAAATGCAGTTTTAAGGAAACTTACCTCTGTACTATTCTCTTTTAACACTGTGAGGACCTTTTCTAACTATACACACATACATCTCTAACGCACCACAGTGTTTCTCGACTCTTTTCCGGTGTTAAGAATACTGACTGCCCAATTATTTCTCCCATGCATTCTGTTATTTTCAGTTTTGTCAAATGCAAAAGAATAAACAATGTAGTTATCTATTATCTGGAAAAAAACCAAGCTTTTCTGCAGGCCAGTAGGAATTTATTCTTTTCCAGTGGATTTAATTGCCCACTGTTTCTTCCCTTATTCAATGATGAGAAAACAGCAGGACAAAAACCCCAGTCAGAGGCTCTGATGGGACATGAGCAAAAATTAACTATGGACAAGGTTCACAGTGGAGTGAGTATGATTGGACAGACTTTTGGAGTTCAGGCTGCTACGAGGGACTACATTTATTGGTTAGGACACAGCACTATGTAATCCATTCTGTGAGCTCATGGAATTGTAAGTATTTGATTAAGGATGATAAATTCCAACCAGTAACTCTAACTAGGTAAAGTGCAATTAAGAGATGGAAGAAAAATTTGAGATCAGTGGTATAGTGTGAAAGAATTAAGAGGCTGGAAAGAAACAGAATAGAACCAGTGAAACAACACAACTCCTATTAGTTTCAGAAGAGGTTTGGTAAAGAGCATGGGTAAATCTGTGCCTCAAAACCATAGATGTGCACAGGAAAAATAACATCTAGAGAGATCTCTCTTGCTTTGCCAAACATTACAGTTCTGTAGCAGTCTGACAGGGTGTTTTTTACATGAGAGAAAAGATGTTCTTCAGCAGCTACTTTAGAAAACCAGTAATGATATTCATTGTCTGGACAGAAGCATTGGATGACTGTTTAACCTCACAGGGCATCTTCTGAAGGAGAAGTTTCCCAGGCATGTGTTATATGCAGGGGAATCCACACCTACTTGTCAGGGTCTGAGTGCACCAACAGGCTCTGGTGGCCCTGACCAGCCTTTGGATGGCTCCCCTACTCCCACCTGGGGGTCCCTCTGAGGCTCAGCCCTGGCCCCAGCCCAGTGTTGAGGGAAGGCCTGAGTCCTGTCCTGGTCCTCCTGGACAGACCCCAGAATTCAGTCATTACCTCGCTTTGCTGACTTGATATCCAGCTGGTCAATGGACCTTATTACTGCTGCCACCACTCAGCCCTCCTTGGCAGCTGTGTCTAAGAGGACTGACAGGCAGACTTGGCCTGAACTTCTGATTCATTTTTTGGGAGTTAATGAAAGAAATATTTTGTGTATACAGAAGAATATCATGTTGTATTGGGTCTGGCTGAGACGGAGTTAATTTTCCCCATGGTAGCCCTCATAGTGCTGCGCTTTGTACTGGTAGCTAGAAAGGTGTTGATAACACACCAGTGTCTGGCTACTGCTGAGCAGTGCTCACATGGCATCAAGGCTGTGTCTCCAACATTCCCCCCTCACTGGTAGGCTGGGGGTGGGCAAGATCCTGGGAGGGGACACAGCCAGGACAGCTGACCCAAACCGACCAAAGGGATATTCCACACCATATGATGTCATCTCGGCAATAAAAGCTAAGAGAAAGGGGGTGGGGGGCATTCTTTTTTTACAATGTTTGTCTTCCAGAGCAACCGCTATGCGTAGTGAAGCCCTACTTCCTGGAAAGTGGATGGACATCGCCTGCTAATGGGAAGTAGAGAATAAATATTTTGTTTTCCTTTACTTCTGCCCATGGCCTTTGCTTTTCTTAATCTGCCTTTATCTTGACCCACATGTTTTTTTCCATTTTATTTTCTCCTCTGCTCCGTCCTGCTGAGGAGGGGTGTGATAGAAAAACTTGGTGGCACCTGGCATCCAGCCAAGGTCAACCCACCACACATGCCCAGGCCAGATGTTCAAACTGCTCTATACTAATCCATGCCAACTATCAGAAAGAGAGGTGAATAAATCCCAACACAGTAATCACTGGCAAGAAGAGGGGAAGGCCATTGTACAACAGGCCTAAGTTTTTAATAAGTATGACCCATAAATCACCAGGATGCCTAAAGAAATACATTAACATTAATGCCTCTGTTATGCCTTTGTATGTTAAATACAACTCCCACCAGAAGGCAGATATTCTGTCATTCAAACTTTAATCCTTTGATCTATCCTACTCATCAAGTGTATGAAATTATGACAGATTGTATTTTTTCTAGAGCTTTTTGGATTTTGTTTGCTCTTGTGAAGGAAGATCTCCACACATGTGGACTCCAGGTCTGTCTACTGTAATGCTTTGTTAAGCTGCCTATAATTACTATCCATATTTACACTGCTCTTACTAACACTGAAATAAAAAGTTACTGGCTGAATGTAACTGACTCCTGTTTGGGGTACACAAACATACAGCCACATGCCGCATCTCTATTACGGGTTTTAAATGCTGCTTTAAAAGTATTGTGACTTCTTTTGTCATATTTTGTGAATTATCTACCATTTTTGGTCAAAAAAATTTACCCGAGGAAACAGAAAATTCCCATAATTTTCCACATATCACTCCAGGACCTTTTTTTAGTAACTGTTAGCAGTGAAACTGCTGTGATAACTGAAGAAAAGGTCAGCCACTAGTTTTCCTGCTCATATACCTGTGGTGGAAGGAAAAGACAAGGGACATCTACTGGTAAAGATGGTTACTTTCTTTGGAAAAGGAGAACAGAGATATCTGAGAGCAGGGATGTGGGATGCTGAGTCATAAGCAGCTGCCACTGGAGTGCTCAGTGTTTTGCTCCCACTGAAAATCACTACACACAAACAACACTAGGCATTCAAAGCCCCATTCCTTCAGCTGTTACAGCAGCGGGAAAAAGTTCTCCTGATCTCTGAAAGCTTTGGACCAGGTCCTCCAAGTAGAAACCTGTGCAAGTGCTCTTGAGAACCCATATTTTAATGCTGAGAAAGAAAACTGGTGCTCAAAAAGAAAATTGGTGCAAAAGAAAACTGGCTGTGTACATTACAGGAGAGCTGGTGGCAACATGTTAAGAAGAAAGCAGCCCCAGTAGCATTAATAGTGCTACTTGGAGAGCTGGTGAGGTAAAAACTTTCCATTCATCTTTTAAACAGATATGATATTACAGCAATTGCTAGAATCAGAACCGCAACATTTTTTTCATTTAAGCATTTGTTATACCAATCTGAAAGCAGAATAGAAATGGGCTCCCACACCACAATGCAGGCCTGTGGCCAATTACACCACTTTTTGGCATATTTTTAGACACGTCCCCAAAACTCTTGCTTTGAATGAGACATATTTATTTCAAATACAAAACGCTGCATAGCTCTCCTCAGGTAACCTACCAGGGTCTCCCACAGCACACAGCGGGTATAAACTTTCTTTCAAGTTTGTTTCTGTTATGAATTATGGCCCATCATCAGGAATTTAATGCTTGGCCACAAAAAGCACCAAAGACTTGGCCACTCGCTATATAAACGGACTCATTTTTAAGTGAAGACTTGCAAAGATGCTTAAAACCACAAAATGGACATCACCCTTTTTGAGATTTGAAATGGAGCATGAAACAAATAGCCAAGTTATTAACAATGCAAAGCACAGAAATGGAGGTTTTAACCCTACTTAACAGGAATTTTTCATTATTTCTGAGCTCATTGCATAGATTTAGCCTCACTGTCATAAGACAAGTTAATGCACACATTAACTTACATACATCTTACTTACATTTTACATACAAGTTAATGCAGAACTAAATGCAAGGTCCAATTAAAAAAAAAGAGTACATTTAAAATAAAATAGTACTATATACACACTTATGTGACAGCACAGGCCAGCTCTAGCTTTTGGAGAAATAATGAATGAAATATTTTAGTCTTAGGATAACTATGCTCTCTGGATGCCACAACTTCACA